ATATTTTCACGACCATCCTTAAGATGACTTAATACTAAATAATGACATAGTGGTGGTGTAAAGACAATTTTTAAAAAATACCTGAATTATACATATAATTATTCCATCAATGTGGAACAGTGATAAATAAAATTTTCACAACCATTAAGATTTGTAAACTGATTAACATATATATATACATATATTTCTTTTAACATTTTTTAAAGCTATATTATATATTTTCATATATAATGCGCAAAAATTCTTGTACTTTAAAATAATTCTGAACAAAATCCAACTTACTGTTTTCTCCTGTCTTGTTTGTTTAAGTTTCGTGAACTCATGTCGGAGGAAGGGTACAAGCGCACTTCCTTTATCAATGAAGCACATCGTTGCGTCAAGTGGACCGAGTCAGTATTGTGTAGCGTGTCGTAAATAGTTTTAAGGGCGCACCCCCTATTTTTTTTTTAATGTGACTATGGTACGTTTAAATCGTCCATTGTCACTAGTTTTATAATTTATTTACTTTAATCACTCAGCCACTTCTTACAAATTGAATAATTAGCATTTAGACTTTCGGCGAAATCGGACAGAACTCGTGAATTTCCATGATCCTCATGAGTGGAGCCAAAAACACCTAAGATATTTTTTTAAAAAAATCTTCTTCACTAATGGACAACAACAATGTCTTGGATTAAAAGACTCTGAGAAAGGGGGTTAAGGCCCTAGAGTTTGGCTAATTACATGCAAATGTATATGACATATGAAGACAACGAGCAGTAATCAAGCTGAAAAGTCCACCAGAACACTACAAATGTGAGAGTAGAGCAAACACGGACCTGTAAAACCATCAGAGCTTGGATCAGGTGCCACAGAGGAGTTAGCATCCCCTATCGACCGGTCACACCATGTGCTCCTCGTCATGATCAGGCAACCGAAAAAATCCGTAGACAATTCAGTGTGAAAATATAATTAGGAACATCAGTCAAACTGGTATAAGCAATAAATTCAACTAAGAGGTCTACATCCTTATACATCCAAGGTTTTGCTCAGAAAAACTTACATAGAAACATTTTTACTAATTGAGATAAGCTGAATTATTCGTAGAATAATAGAATCAGAATGAACGTTAACCCCACTCCCGTATTTTCATGTAGTCTACATTAAGTTGCATTCGAATACAATAAATACATACATGTATTACAAAAGGAAAATACATCTCTGAAAAATCGCTCTAAACTGATATTCCGAACACTATGCCTAAGGACACCAAGCTACAGTAACCGTGACCTTCGATCAGTAGACCTGTTTAAATGTGTGAAAAGTTTAATAATTGCTATATACTGGTGTTCAGAAGCGGTTTCGAAGTGGAGACGTGGAATGACAAACATTAAGCAGACTAGCTTTGGGCAGTAGATCAGTAAGCTATTAAAATCTCGGTAAAGCTGATTTTACTCTAAGATACCCGTCAATATTTATTCACAAGGATGATAAATACTCTTGTTTATCGCTGAGAAAAAATGATTTTTTGAAAATTAACATGTTCGAAGTTAGGTATTTAAAAAATGAAATAGAATATTTTTTAAAGCATATTAGCACAATCGTCTTCGCAAATTAACCACTACCCACTAAAACTGTCCGGTATATTTCATTCGTTCTACACTGGACTCTTGCAACCAATGATAAGACAGCTGTTATGTTACATTACGTCATATAAAAATATATGTGCACAATTTTTCTACTCCTTGTTTTTGTACCCATAATTATATAAATCGTATACAAAGGACACCAGGATACAATTTGAAAAATTATGCCTGATTAAGTGCATGGAATCTAGATTTAGAATTTTGTGACGTAATCTGCCAAGATTTGTGGACATTGCAGGCGCGGATCCAGAAAATTTTTCCAAAGGGGGGGGTCCACCCCAGTAAAAAAAAATCCCCCCCCCCAAAAAAAAAAAACTGTTGACAAGCCAAAAAAAAAAACTAAATTCCTTTCCTTATCAAGAAAATTTCTTGACAAAAAAGAAAAGCGTAAAATCCATTTCCATAACGTGAAAAACATATTTCGTAGCGGTGATGGTGGGGTCCACGTTTTCTAGGAGGGGTCCAAAGTTATTTTTTATTTGCTTCAGTATATACTTTTAGTAACTCTGCAAATTCCAGGGGGTCCGGACCCCCCCCCCCCCCCCCCCCAACGATCAGTAACATATTAGTATCGTGTTGTTTTCACAGTAAATGGTAGGCCTCCTTTGAGCAGTTAGGACCAGGTGAACTACAAATGGTTCAGTTGAATTGAGTCTTGGCATGTAAAGATGACACATAACTACTTCAAGCTTCTTCGATTAGGTTAAAATAGCTAAGCAGCTACAATGACCTTGACTTTTGATGTATGACCTTGACTCAAATCAATACTATGCCAAGAAAATACGTCCGATTTTGACACTGGTAAACCCAATAAACGTGTAATTTACGCTAATCACCGATAATTCTCCCAAGAGAGGCGCGAGACAATGAATACATGTAGTAGCGGCTTTGAAGGGGTGGATCCTTAAGTTCTTCCATCCAGATGCTTCTTTTAGTCTTATCTGGTGTAGATATACTTATACTACATTTTTGATCTTTGTTGGTCTTAGGACCTAGCTTTTCTCTTTTCCCTCTTTTGGCCATTTGACAGGTACTTTATTTCTAAATTCTTATTTTCCCGGACATAGGTATTAATTTTTTTTATTTTGTTTCCCACTATTTACTATAATAAATTATAAATCTCTGTTATTTTTCTTTTCATTTTGAAATTTTTATAGACACTCTGAGAGTATAAACGAACATGGGTTGACTGTTTGTCAAAGAAATGGGTTGACTGTTGATGAGGACACTGTCCTTAAGCTTATTCTCAATTTTGGATAAGTCACTCCCGGTCTTTCAAGTTTTTCACAAAGGCCTATACTTAACATTGCCTCTGCATTTCTTGTATATTTCAATTAATTTGCACTAAACTAATTATCTGAACTCATTCAGAAAATCGGAACATCATACAACTCAGATAAAATGTTTATCAGAAAATCAACATTTGTATTATATAGGGATGGCAACGAATATTCATTCGATGAGTAGATATTCGAATATGAATTTAAGATTCTAATATTCGGTGTTTTTCAGATTTCATAAAAAGAAGTACTGTGATTTATAAATTTTGATTAGAACAGTGCTGGAATTATCCCTGTTTAATTTACTAGCGATCAATTTCGATCGCCTGATTTCTTTCACTACTTTCTTATCTTATAGATTTACTAAATTACATGTATTTTGTTTTGAATAAGGTGTTAAAGAATTGTACAATAATGCTTTATGTATAATACAAAACGTACTTTCATAGTTTTTTTTTGTTAGATATGATCGGATCTAGAATCGAGGACAACAAAATGAAATCTTAGAATGTCTAAAAGGCGTGAAGAGTATAAATTAATTGATCATTGAATGGATGTCCGATAGAATTAGTCTGTAATTAATGTTGAAAAGGGCATAATTTCAGAATAAATGTGTTAATTACTTGATTATCTCGGGTTGTGCATATTCCTGAATTTTATATTCATTATCGGGAAATTAGTTAATTACCTAGGAAAATTGTCTATGGAAATATTTGTTTACATTGTATCAAAGATTATAATCATATCTCTTATTAGGCAGATAATTGTAGTTCATTACACGTATTGAAATCTGAACAGTATACCGTTGCCTTTAGTTCCTCAGATGGAGCTACTATAAATACACGTTTCATTTGTTAAAATTATTTGATGATACTTTTCTACATTTAAATCAATTATTTATTTCAAATATTGACAAATATCAAATGAAATTTTTTATTGTACACCTACAAAAGTTTTCATACAATTTTACTTCCAATATAAGTATACCTACGCTTAACCTTTCATGATGCATATTTAAAATAAAACAGATTCAAGTTTCAGCTACCTTTGTAGTTGGCCATAACTTCTAAATGATTGGAGCTATGCCTTTTATATTTCACATGTGTATTCCTTGCGACAAAATCTTTCTTTGGATACCAACGTCTTGACCTCATGACCTTGACCTTAGAGTTCGATTTTCTTTTAAATGAACCTGAACCAAACTTAACCCTTGTCTTAATCTTTTGAACGGTTTAATTTAATTTAATCAGTATTTTATTATGTAAAGTCAGTTTACATAATTGGATTGGACATCAGGCATGGCCTATGTAAGTCCTCTCCAAGAAGGTCAAGGTTACAAATGTTAAGAAGTGACAATGACTTACAATCATGATGAAATAATTCATAATAAGTTACATTAATTTCTTCTTCTTTTTTTTTTTACCAGAAATGGGGAAAAAAGAGAGATAAATTAATAAATTCACAAGAGTTATTACTTAGCATGTATACTCACTATACAATATAATGAAAAAATAAAAGAGTGCAAAGAATAAGTAAACAAATGAAGTGCAAAAGACAAATATGCAAGGAAATTTAAAAAAGAAAAAAAAGCAAAGAAAATAATATTAATAATAACAAATAAATAAATCTGGAACAAGCAAAAACACTGGATAATAATAAAGAAAAAAAAAAATGAAAATGCAAAAGACAAATATCCAAGAAAAAATACAATATATATACATGGAAATGCTGAGATTTGAAATAAGTATAAATATCAAAAATATTAGGAAATTAATATTAAAACTTAAATATGAAATAATATCAAAATCGCTTTGAAAACTTGATGTATTGAACGGTTAGTGTTGGGGCTTTCATGTTTTGAGCTTCCTTAATTCATTTTTTACATCATGTATAAAAAAAATGAAATAAATTTTAACTTCTGGTGATTTTTAAAAATAATGATTATACAAGTTAATGTTGTCTATGTTGTCTATCTACATTTTTCATAAGACTCCCAAGTTTGCCCCTAAATATTCGGGCTCGATGTTCCTCATACACAAAAGTACTTTCACTTTGCATGTTGCTATTTTCCATTTCAGTATTTATTTACATTGATACTGTTACAGACAAAAAATATATTTATGGCTAGGGTAAGTATGGAATTTAAGAGATATTTAAATCACCAAACAGTCGTAAAATTGAAGTAGCATTATTGTAGTTTACCTAGTAACGATTTTTTTTAGAGATAATGAAAATTGCCATTTTGCAATAAACAGATAAACAGTGATAAAGGCCTAAGTTACCTTTTGGACTTGTGTACAATGAATATGGTGTTTATATATACAAAATAAATCTACAAAAATATACTTTGTCCCCAAATTTCTTTTTTTACATACTATATAATTATTATTAATAAGTAATTATGTCGGTAAGCAAATGGTTGTAACAGAGTTAAGGTGATTATGTTCACGGTACATGTACATAGTGAAGCCACGCTCCTACTAGCACCATAGCTAATGGGTTGACCCTTTAGTACTGTCGGTAGAGTGATAGATTTTAAATCTGAAGGTTGTATGTTCATGCCACATTGTGGACACCCCCTGGGTAACTGGTCATTTAGTTATATCTTTCAGCTAGTCCGAAATATCTGACGTTTTCCTGGCTTTTCACTATTTTTATATTTTACGCGCCAGGAAAACTTCAGAACCGGGGCCATTACGAAAACTGGAAATTTCGCCATCTGCAATCGGAGTTGATTTTCAATACCTGGGAACCGAATTGAATGCCGTTTTCATAATTTATCAATAGCACAATGCTTCTAGTACTCAACAATATCAATGAAAAGAAAACATCACTCATCATTTCAATATATGACTTGAAAGATTTTAAAATGCATGAAATGAAAACAAATCTCGACAGTCAGATAAAATGTTTTCATCGGATTGTATATTTTATAAACAAACCATAAAATCGATGTTGGTGAGTACTAAAAGCATTGTACTATTGATAAATTGTGATTTTGACATTTCGCTTTGCAAGTATTGAAAATCAACCTGAGAATGCCGCCTCTGGTTGGAGGCGGCAAATTCCCAGTTTTCATAATGGCGCCGGTTCTGACATTTTCCTGGCACGTAAAGTATCAAAATCGTGAAATAAAGCCTGGAAAACGTCAGATATTTTGGACTATCTTTCAGCCTGACAGGAGACGAAGTGCAACACCTGACCCTGGCCAAAACATCAGTTTTTCCATTGCAGGTTATTTCTCAGACTAGAGCTATTTTTCTAGTGTAGGATAGAGAACATTCACAAGGTCCATGCTACCATAGCCAAATGGAGGAGATTCCTATCACTTTACAACCAGGAAATGAGACATTACCACTGGGGTTAAAGGATTTAGAGTCCCTGGACAAAATCACTGTCCACCAACACTTAGAAGCAGGGGATAGTGAGTGGATAATGTCTTGATTATAATTTCTTATAATTCAAATGTTTAAGGAAAAGAATTCTTTTGTACATACTTTGGGATATTTGGCATACTTTGGCATACTGGCATATTTTTCGATGAAACTTTGAATATCTTTAATTGATGATGAAACTCAAGGTAGTCCTTCATTTTGTGTTATATATTATATTGAATATTTTTCAGTGTGCTTTCAAAGGCCAAGTCGATATAGTGTATATGGCAAAGAAGAAGATTCCATATTATATGCTCAAGAAGGTATTGATTTGAATTTTTTTGAAACATTGAAAAGCAATGTTAAGTAATTCAGACTGAGTAATTCTTAACTTTATTGTTTATTCTGTGCCATTTAATATGTTTAAAATTTGGAAAGGAGGAAACATGTCTCAGTATTAATTACTCTCTTGATTAATTTCAGTCTCCGAGTGCTATGCCCGTCAATGTTTGGGGGCCATGAGGGGATTTGTTCTGAAGTTCAGCAATCAAGATGGCCAAGAACTGATCAGATTACGACGCCCCCTTAGGTGCCCTTGTGGTGTTTGTTGGTGGTGGTGCTGCTGTGTTCAGGAACTCAGCATAGAAAGCCCCCCTGGTCAAGAGATTGGGGCAATCATGGAGGAGTAAGGGGAATCTTGTTGGCTTTTTAATAATTTTGCTTTTGCACAGTTATAAAATGGCACAAAAGGCTTAAAATTTTACCTCGTTGTTGAAATGTAAACATTGAATTCATGCTTATAATTATACAATACTGATTTGACTAATTCTGTTTTCTGAGACATAAAGTGTTTGTTTATTCAAGAAAATGTTAATATAAGTAATGATAAATGTTTTAATTTATCAGTGTGATATTGATGGCTATTGTCTTGTAGTCGCTGTTGTTGTCCTTCATACAAAATTATAGATGAAACTGAATCTGTAGTCTACAAAGTGGAGTTTTCCTGTTGTCTTTGCAAACTGTGTTCTGATGTTGTAATACCAGTAAGTTTATTTATAACAAACGGAATGAATTTAACAAGGTTGATATTGTTCTGTACCTAAAATAGATGATTGATGGTTGAAGGTATCAGATGCCAGGGGAGGACAGAGAGTGGCAGAAATCAGGAAGGCTACTGCTGGTGACTGTGGAGACTTCTGTGGAACTCACAATGACTTCACCATTTCCTGTAAGTCTGGTCCATTTATATACCAGTATACTTCACCATTTTCTGTAAGTCTGTTTGTTTATATACCACGAAAGACTTCACCATTTCCTGTAAGCCTGGTCCATTTATTTATCACTAGACTTCACCATTTTCTGTAAGTCTGGTCCATTTATATACCACTAGACTTCATCATTTCATGAAAGTCTGGTCCATTTGTATACCACTAGACTTCATCATTTCCTGCAAGTCTGGTCCATTTATATACGACAAGACTTTACCATTTCCTGAAAGTCTGGTCCATTTTATATATCACTAGACTTCACCATTTCCTGTAAGCCTGGTCCATTTATATACCACTAGACTTCATCATTTCATGTAAGTCTGGTCCATATAAATACCACTAGACTTCATCATTTCCTGTAAGCCTGGTCCATTTATATACCACTAGACTTTATCATTTCCTGTAAGTCTGGTCCATTTATATACCAGTAGACTTCACCATTTCCTGTAAGTCTGATCCATTTATATACCACTTGACTTCACATTTCTGTAAGTCTGGTCAATTTATATACCACTAGACTTCACCATTTCCTGTAAGTCCATTCATTTATACACCACAAGACTTCACCATTTCCTGTAAGCCTGGTCCATTTTTATACCCCTAGACTTCACCATTTCCTGTAAGTCTGGTCATTTCTTCACCATTTCCTATAAGTCTGGTCCATTTATATACCACTAGACTTCACCATTTCCTGTAAGTCTGGTCCATTTATATACCACTAGACTTCACCATTTCCTGTAAGTCTGATCCATTTATATACCACTAGACTTCACCATTTCCTGTAAGTCTGGTCCATTTATATATCACTAGACTTCATCATTTCCTGTAAGTCTGATCCATTTATATACCACTAGACTTCATCATTTCCTGTAAGTCTGGTCCATTTATATACCAGTAGACTTCACCATTTCCTGTAAGTCTGGTCCATTTATATACCACTAGACTTCACCATTTCCTGTAAGTCTGATCCATTTATATACCACTAGACTTCACCATTTCCTGTAAGTCTGATCCATTTATATACCACTAGACTTCATCATTTCCTGTAAGTCTGGTCCATTTATATACCACTAGACTTCGCCATTTCCTGTAAGTCTGGTCCATTTATATACCACTAGACTTCATCATTTCCTGTATGTCTGGTCCATTTATATACCACTAGATTTCACCATTTCCTGTAAGTCTGATCCATTTATATACCACTAGACTTCACCATTTCCTGTAAGTCTGATCCATTTATATACCACTAGACTTCACCATTTCCTGTAAGTCTGATCCATTTATATACCACTAGACTTCATCATTTCCTGTAAGTCTGGTCCATTTATATACCACTAGACTTCACCATTTCCTGTAAGTCTGGTCCATTTATATACCACTAGATTTCACCATTTCCTGTAAGTCTGGTCCATTTATATACCACTAGACTTCACCATCTCTTGTTCTCTTTGAAAGTTACATTTACAATGCCACAATGATACACTTTGATAAACACTGTGTCAGTGGTTATTGAAGTCAAGATTGAATCATAATGCTACTTTAATGTTTCTCAGGATGTACAGATTTTATTTGTTTTGAATAAAATGCATATGTAGACTAGACTACATCAAGGGACAAACTTTCTGATTTCAGTGAATTTTAGTAAATATGAAAACTTCATTTCGGAAAAATGGTTCTGCCTAATGAATTCAAAACCTTGAATAAATGTGTTTCATTATGGCAAAGTTGATCTTCATACAATTTTTTTTTGAAGTCAATAATAAAAATAGGATAAAAACACAAGTATTTTAAATTATTTGAAAGTAATTTTACATGTTTTGCCTCTCGGGTTTAACAGCTGAGTCAACTGTCGAAGAACAATATAAAACCTAAGAAAAGGAATTTCTAAAACTTGTAAAATTTCTCTTATACCATTAAGAGTAAAATTAAGTTTAGCTTCAGTCTCATCTCACAGTTATGAATAAGAGTAGTTTATTTACATGATTGTGTGTAATTTTAATCCAGGGTGATTCGAGAATATATTTTAATAATCATGTACTTCTAGATCTCCAGCCATTACAAGTTCAACATAAGATTCTTCTTCTGGGTGCAAGTTTTTTGATGGACTTCAACTTTTTTGAAAAACAACAACGTTCCTGTTGTTAATGTGACTATAACATTTTGCATGATATTGTTTCTTCTTTTTTTTTTAATTTTGTCAAACCACAGAACCAACATCTATTTATGTGTTCTTACTAATTTTCACATTTATTCTGGTATTGTTATAATTATTAGTCATATATGTTAAATGCAAACTTATATAGTGTCATCAGCTCATTTATATTTTTTCCCTACTTATTTTGTCTTTTTTTTTTTTTTTTTTTTTTTTATAAATCTCTTTAGAATATACACATGTATATATTTTTTCAATGTTATGTAATTAATATTTACTTGTAACATGTATGACTTGACCTGTATTGTGGAGAGGACTTATATAGGCAGTGCCTGCTGTCCAATCCAGTTATGTTTAATGTTTAAAATATAACAGGGACTGTAACATAATAACAGGGACTAGCATTATTATTTGATAATCTCATGAGTCTTAGGGTTACCTGTACATATCTTATAGTATATTATACATCTAGATAAATATTTGGATGCCTGGTACCAATACAGCCATTGTTTATGTTTTAGAAATATATATTTTTGCTCAGTCTTCTTTCATTACCTCTAATTTAATGTATTTTATATTCATACATAATTTATTAATTTATTTATGGAATTGAAAAGTTGTCATTTTCTCTGTTTTATTTATTATTTTTATTTGAAAATTATTATTTGCAAAAAATTCTTAAACTTGTTAATATATTAAATTAATAAACTTGCTTTTATATACACATGTACAAAACTAATCTCCTTTATTCTTAGCACATAAGCGTGATGATCATATCTCAAGAACCCCTTTTTCAATATTTATTAAATTTGTCACAAAATATTATTTTATTTAATTATTCAAAAAATTGGATGAAACCCTTGAAATATATATAAAAAGAAAAAACTTTAAACTCTTCTAAAAAAATTCAGGTACTGGGCGGATTTTCATCAGTTTTGTACATTATGATGAAGATGCATAGCAAATATAACTGAATTTTTTGATGAAGGCATCACACCTACGCAAAGAGTGTGGTCTCATAATCAATACAAAATAAACCTTAAATGATACTTTGTTGAAACTTTGATATTCTTCCCACCACAATGACTAGGACAGTTGATGCACTTTTGGGGCGTAGGGTGTGACAACCCCAAAATATGTTATTGTGACCTAGGGTTGGAATTGTGCAGCTATATTTCTTCTCAATATTGTTTTAAAAGCATACATGTATACAATCATACACTGAAATCTAACAGAATGAAATCCTATCAGCTGAAAAACCTTTGGGTCTCTGAGTTTGTGAATTCAAAAGTAAGTCACGGTGACCTACTTTCTGAATTTTACGGATATTTATTTTCAAATTTTTCTGTGATCTTTTTTAATCTGATTGCTATTCTGAAATCTTGAAACCTGGACTCAAAATTAATCTGTATTTTGAACACTATGAGGAATATGGTCACTTGGCCTTAAAGCGATACCGACCCAAAATAGATCACAATGGCCTTATTTTAAAATTTTTCACTATTCAATGTCATTTATTTAATAGACGTTAAACGGTGCCCCTTACCAAGGATTACAAGGTCCTTGGCAGGCAAATGATCGTTTTCTTATGCTCTAAATTTTGAATTTACCAGGTGGAACTACCGAAGTAAATACAAAGTTTATAGAACATGACAGTTTCTCTATTCTTCGCAAGCTCACTGTTAGCTGCAGAACTGTAGCGTTCTTGTTTTATATTTAGCAGTTTAAGTCTTTGACCATAACATTATGATCAAAGACTAAAATATAAAACTATAACGCTAGCTCACCGGAGAAACATAAAACTTTCAAAAACCGGTTATACTCATTAGCAATTGAAAATTGTTTATTGATATTTGAAAGACATTTCTTTTGATCTTGCATCAGTGGAATTTAATTAATTGAAATGGTAAAAGAGAAAAGTTTCTTCAGTTAAACCAAAAATTGTCCTATTGTTTTTGGTTCATCGTAGGATAAGAAATTATTAAATATATACATGTTCATGTCTTACAAAGAAGTTATTATAAAAGCAAACGCAAGAAAAAATGTTGTCGAAGTGAATTGCATCGAAGGAGTTCAGATGTGCGTCTAAATTCAACATTGAGTAATGTTTCCAAACTATTTCAGTGTTGAGTCATTATTAATGCATGGACTTGGCTGAGTATTGTTTGGAGATTGCCTGCGCACACATGAAGATTGCATCATTAAACAATCCGATGTCTAGTGTGGGTTTTTTTTTTTTTTTGGTTCTTTAATTTTTCCCTTTTATCACGAACCAGTTTTCCGTCTCAAAGACTTAACAATCACAGGTACTGCACACTTACGTAAAGGCTGTGTTTAATTGATAGCCGAAAACATACTCCTTTGACCAGAACCTTGACAAATTAATTACTTTGTAGTATAGAATTATTTAGAGCATATCATTTGTCAATTACATTTCAAGGACCAACTGAAACCTCAAGTTCACTGATATTATTAATCTTCATAGGGATCAAACCTTATGAAAACAAAGAGTATTAGTTTCCCAGATAAAAATACTAACAAGGGAAATGGATGGTAATTAAACTAAACCAGACCAGCGAATTCATCCTCCCCTACATCGGATGTTGTGGACCATTATCGGATTTAATCGCCGAAGCTGTTTGGTATCGCGTACCAGCCTCCACCTTGAAGAACTGTTGGAAAAGATTCTGTTTTGCTTGATTACACCTGAAAATCGGAGGGGAAAAAACAAAAGCGGGTATTTAATGCATATTTTGTCTAGAATGATGTATGGTTTAATGTCAATGCCTCTACAGTAGTAGACAACATAGTTTGCTAAATCGATAGCTAATGGAGAAGTTTGACTTTTATAAGGGGGGAGAAAGATATTTTTATTGTTATGATACAACGTTCTGAGGTAATGGCCGTAAATCAGGAATAACAGGGACCGTATAGAGATCTGTCAGTACTAATCGGATGTACTTGTTTATCCAGCTTATAGATGTCATAGATGGCCCATGTCTGAATTTCATGAAACATCGACAGCATAAACAGTTTTGGATGAGGTTTACAAGGAATGAAAAACCAGGAACTTAACTTCATACGGAAACTTGAGAATCAGCAATAAACCTTTTAACAAATGGTAAGTTAAACTCTCTCTAGCTTTAAATCGGAACAGTTTAGAGTAGAATTTGTTTTAGGAAATTGACTCGATTGTCCATTGAATATGAATAGACATGTATATCTAAATATCATCAAGAACTTGAATTATTCTCTTCGTATTTGGAATTTAAATGTATAAATTTAATACATTTAGGCAAGAGGGTGTATAATTGAAAACATTACTTCACTTGGTTGGTCAAGAAATCCTAAAGTTAATTTGTGTAGAAAATAAACCAATGTTGCCATGCAGCAACAATGATAGAATCCACAGCGAAAGCTGTGGCCCAATTTCCATTTCACGGCTATGTTACCTGTTTTGTCATCCAGAAAAGTGCACGAAGGGGGCAGTGTTTAATTTACGATGTAATTGTTTGTCATTCATAATACATAATCTCCGTGCAGTTTTTATTGAGCACCCACTTCAAAAGGACTTCAAATGCACACCGATCATCTGGCCTGTCTCTCGCTTGGTTTTCAGGATTAGGAATCTTATCCCTTCCCAAACTCGATGTAAATTTCCAGTCAGGTGAGGAGTTTGGTGGAAGGTGCCCCGTTAATGATGTCAAGGATTAGGGGCGGCTGTTCTGTCGAGTTAGACTGGAATTTGTATTGTTATTCAGTAATTCAGATAAATGGAGTAAAGAAAAACTGCTACATGCGGAGAGAGTTTATTGAAATTCTGAATTAAGGTAATTTAAAGAATAACAACTAGGGCTCTTTGTTGAGTGTTTGCACATCTTTTCGTAAAGCTTTCAATAGAATGTAATCTGTCAGTTTAGAAAGCTCTAATTCGAAGACAAACACTGTAGACTTTTATGGACAATTTAATATTTACTCAAAATCTAGAGAAAAGGGTTTTGCGGAAATCAGAGCGGGGACCTAAATCGTAAAAGTTGACAAAAATTCAAGCAGGTGCTTGACAGAATATATTTAATAAAGTATACTGATAAAATAGCCCATAAGAAATTCGAAACATCTGATAGGTTTTGCCAAGCAACCATTGGAATCTGTTTTACAAGATCTGTTTCATGAAGTTTTGATAGATTTATATTTACAAGAAGTGGTCTGTAAAATTGTTATTTTTATGTTCTTAATAGTTTTGCATGCTTTACGAAGGATTTGTAATTCTCTTCATGCCACATCAGATGGTAGGTATGAGATTTACTTATCAATTTATTATTTCGTCAAGTCATTCTTTTAAACTTCTGAGATAGGTAACTTACATGTACCATTTGATGGTTTGAACATATTTAATTGTAATTTCTAATTACAAAGGGATTGGGCACAGATTCTAAAAACTTTGTACGCCCTCTCCCTACATGTAAATAACAAAGATTAAGTTAGGTCACAGTTAAATATGTACATTCGAAATATTCAGTATTTTCAAAATTTACAAATCAATGCATTTTAAAGAATCATATGCATAATTTTATATCGGGCCCGTAGCAACGGTTTCAAAAAAAGGGGGGGGGGGCAACTTGCCAAAAAAAATCTGACAAGCAAAACTAACAAAAAAAAAAAATACTTACAACATCAAAAAGTGTGGGGGCCAACCAGCATTTAAAATAAAATTTACTACAGCAAAATACTATACTCAGAAAAAAGTGGGTACTACGCGTTCTACGGGCCTGCATCTATACATGTATATATAAATAATAATACTGAATCTGCCAGAATGTTTGATAAAAGTTTGAACAATAGAGAAAAAGACGTTCATTCTCTGCAGTACTAAATGAATCTATCCCCAATAATAAGCATAGGCTTTGGAACCGGAAGAGGGGGGCTTTCCCCCTCCCCCCCCCAACTTTTTTGCAAAGTTAGACAATAATATAGGCATTGAAAACGGTAGCTTAGCCCCTTAACTTTTTTTGTTGGTTTAGCCCCCCCCCTTTCAATTTGCTTCCGACGCCTTTGAAAAGACGTGTGTATCTAAAATGTGAATTTTATCAAATAAAAGAAAGGAGATGGGTGATCAAAATGGGCTTTATAAAAAATAATGATACATATCTTCTTTTTACCACATGAGCATAAAGGGATTGATATTAAATTGCACCTGTAAAGGTCATTATTCAATGCACAATTAAGTCGAAGTCTGGTCTGAAGAACATTCAGTCGTTTGTTACCATATTCAAAATATGATAGTGGGACAGGTTATTAAATATTCATTTTAGATTTAAAATTTGAAATTACTTGTAAATTTCTATTTTCAAGTGGTAGTGAGTTCCATTCATTAACTACAGTAGGAATAAACGATGACTTATAAGTCTGTAATCTATATTTTGAAATATCACAATTTTCAGAATTTCTAGTATAGAATAGTAAGATGTATTTCATCGCACACCTGGAAGTATGTCCATTAATTAATCTAGCACTAAGTTATTGTGCATCTTTATAAAAAGAATTATCTTTAATCGTGTTCCTTGTGATACACTAATTGGTTGCAGTTTTGAATTATTGAAGGAAACCAAACCAATTTTGATACCTTTTTAATTTTTTTGGTTTCAATTTTGATCGTCTTTGAAGAGGTTCCCAAATGTAAATTGTCCAATAAAACACAGAAAAGAAAAAAAAATAGAAGAAAAATTTGAAAAGCACCAAATGCAAAACCACAGAAAAAGTCCTTTGATTGAAACAACCCAGTTACTTAGCCTTTATTTTCGCCCTTTTCTAAGTCGAAATGGAAATTCCATATAATTTGAAATCTACCTCTAAGTAAATATCATTCACAGGCATGTTGTAAAGTATATTTGAACAAAAGAAAATATTACATTTGTTTATCCGAAAAGCAAGCCAGTAAAGGAGAGAGCGAAACAATAGTCTATTTGACCAAAATCAAAGATTGCAATTAAAGATATACACGCTATAACTTGCGTCAGGTAAAAATAAAGTTGGAAATTTATTTATTTTGTTTACCAAATAGTTACAAAAATATTGTAAATTACACAATTGGAAATGAACGCATTAGAAAGATCTCAAATTATAGTTATTTATTAACCTACTAGGAAAGTAATGTCTATATTTAAATTCATGCATCATGTGACACCGTCGCTACTTTTAGATTGATAAACAAAAATGGCGTCAAGAAAACGAGGTAGGCCGTTTGGTATACAAAATAACTTTTGACATGGATGGCATACGTTTTATGCTTAAAGATACCTATCTTTGAAAACAACCAGTATTAACCATCTACTCTGTAATGACAGATACTAACTTTTATTCAAAATCGTAGTCAAAATGCAACATACCTCGTTGTCTATGTTTTCCCGCGGACATGCGTGTCTATATACTGTTTACGCACTTCCTTCCTCAATATTCATGAATAGGCTGAATTTTTAATTGCAGATCCTGCTTAATTGTTTAGTAATTACAACGACTTATTTAGTAAAACTTTGTGGAAAGTAATTATTTTTTTATTACAATCATGTTTTTCAAATCATTTAATCATTTTGTTTCACATAAAAAATTGCGTTTATGTAGCGTGTATATCTTTAAGAAACCCTGTCTATTTAGTGGGATATATTTAGGTTCAGTCAAAATATTACATTTCAGGTGTGTGTAGTGTTTTCTTTGCAAACATTTAACACATTTTTAGCGGGTATTTTTTAATTGGATCAAAAATGAAAAATCAGTTAAAACTTTTCCGCTATATTTCCTCTTGTGTGTGTATATGGAGGGAGAGGAGGGGTTCTTATGCTCATTTAGTTTTTTTTTTCTTCAATCAAATTTTGTTGATCAAAATTCAAGTATATCTTACACATAAAATTCAAAATTAAATTACCGATTAAATCAAATTTACCTGTGCCTTGATATTTTTATTATTAGAATCACCCCTTGTTTGCTGAGATGAGACTATAGGGAATGACTGTACACAGAAAAAATATTTTAAAAATGCTTGCTAACCAAGAACCTCGTGCGCATACAGAAATAGTTCCAATGGATTTTCTCAGACAGAGACCAAAATCAGCAACTATGAGACTGAAAAATATAGACACCTCCTTAAGTGATCATAGAATCACCTTCCCCACCGTTAAGTCAGCCGTCAGTCAGTTCGTTCAAATTAACAGTCGCAACCGCAGTGCAGGGACTCGAACGCTAGCTGTATCATTGCCAGACCCGGAGTCTCAATGTGAACAAACTTTAGTTGAAAATACAGGTGTGCGCATGCGCTATACTCATGGTATACCTAGCGATGCAGATCTTTTGAGTAAAGAACGGCAACAGACAATGACACAACTTTACCATGAGTTAGCGATGGATTCCGTAGATGTCGTGTTCGATGCGAATGATCCCGAATCTCGAAGAAGCTGCTCACCGAAGAAAATTATTGCTGGAAGTCCAGCTCTGCTAGGTATGCAAGCGCAAATTCATTCTCTGACGGAGAGTTTTGCTCGTCGATGCAAGATACCAAAAAGCAGATCGTTACCAGAATCTGCTTGTTTCCACAGCATTCAGACTATGACGTCACCCGAGATGCATCAATCAGTGACTGGTCAAGATACAAATAGGGAAAATTACAAAACAAAAGACGATGTAAATACGGATTATGAGAAACTTCCCCCCGTTATAACCCCACATCTAAATGGGAACGAAACTCCACTACTCAAAGACTACGGAACTGATCGCCGACATACATGCAAGAAGAAAGTAACTAAGAGCAAACAAAATAAGAAAAACAAGAAAAAAGAAACAGATGACCATCATGATTTTGTTGTTACAGATGGAATCATTAATCCGGATATCCACAGAGACGCTTACATCCGGGCACTACAAGACGCCCGATCAAAGTATTTTCGAAAAACCACGCCAGATTCTCTCGTCACGGAACCGTACAAATTTTCTTATTTTGATGTGACAAATAAGAACGAGAGGGGGAGACCGCCAAAAGATAGAGACTTCCGGAATTATGTCGGTATGAAAAGAATATTTGGTGATATTCGATTGGATGATTATTATTCTCTCAGATATACAGGGAAATATATTAGCAAAAAACCGGAAGTTAGGACCCTACTGAAGGACAATGTGCAATAAAACAGGAGTTCTTTTTCGGTGCTAAAAATATTAGGCTAGGAGTAATACGAAGTTTTTATCTTAAATCCTGTACCATCGTTTGAGATTTCATTTTATACATACAGCTATGCACTTGTATATGATTTTTTAAAAAAGTAAATCATAAGACACTTAAACAATTTATACATACAATTTCAGTTCATTAAACAGAAAAGTTACTGAAAATGTAAATGTTCAGCATACATGTATATCAATATTTTTCGGTAATTTTTTTTTATTTTAATGTATAAAGATGTCCACCCCTTCACAATTCTTTATTGTAATTATGTGTTATTCAAAAAGCATGTCCTTTTAGAGACATTGTGTTAGACATACTTGTATGCATTGGGTTTCGTTTATTAATTTTACACATTCATTAATCAGAAAATAATACCATTCGGTGAGTGTTGGGGCCTATGCGCCTCTTATATTTCTGTGAAGACTTGTGCTAGTTCCGATACAAATTTTAACGAAACAAATCCCAAGGTATCATGCAGTCCTCTTTTAAATTAGTCATTTTTTAATTTAATTTTTTTATTTATTTATTATTTATTTTTTTATTTTGTAATTTCAAGCATATTTCGATTGCTAGAGACACGCAAACTTCACTTTTTCCGTCTAAAACAAAGATATGGTAATTCTGAAAATTTCAAAATTAACTTTAATTCTAGTGCGATATTAAAAAAGGCAGCCTAGCGACGTTAGTTACATGTATATATAGGATCAAAACAATGCAGAAATACATTCGCTAGCAATAGAATTCAAAACAGGATTTATGCGACACAAAATCTGATCAGCAAAATTGTCGATAGGATATCGAATGTAGTAATTTGTGGTTTTCCAAAAGTAATATTTGTGAAATATTTGTTTTCCAAGATGTTGTTTCATACATACATGTACTATATATCGGTATACGTATCAAAATTAATGAGAATTTTCTAGAGATTTTTTTTTTTTACACGCACTGCATCAATATTTTAAACCTAACCACATTGTTAATGATACGCAAAATTAAGGATAAAATTATTTAATACTTTGTACAGTGACGCATGCAGTAATATTCGAATAGCAAAGATTAAATATTTTTCCCCTGTGTATTTTATAAAGGAAAGAAATGAAGCGTACGTTGTAAGTACAGTATTGATAATTCATAAATTAAGTCCGAGGAAAGATGGCGCTCCCTGACTTGGAAGATTCTCTTTTATTTCTGGGCGTCATGATTTCTCCATTATAACATGGATTATTAATAAGATAGCCAATTTTTCCACGGTTTAATAGGTGTAAATCAAGATAAAGTGCAGAATGCGGATGAAAATCGATAGATCATCGTTCTCTTGGTGCGGTATAGAATGCACGTTAAACTTTGTACTCGGTTTATGACAAAGATGAGCAATTTCGTACGTGACAACATCTTTTCTCTTCCTAGTTTATTAATATCTATTGTTAGCGATTATCCATGGGAATTCCTTGACCTCTAAAACCTTCAAACTTTACTTAAATCTCTCTCTCTCCCTCTCTCTCTCTACATGTATATATATTGAAGAGCATTTATTTCATACTTTTTTTCTGCATGCAGTAAAATCTATTTGAATTTCACTTGTCATTTATTTTAATATATTGAAGGGCATTTATTGCATACTTTTTTCTGCATGCACTAAAAACTATTTGAATTTTACTTGTCATTTGTTCTAATATGGAGACACGTGCGCCGTATCAAGTATGTTGAATATCTGCGATACACATAAATGCAAGACTGGGTTCTTTCATCCAAATAAAGGAATTGCAGATGTGAGATAAATCAATCCATTACAGGAATGGATACATATATCAGTGTACTTAACTCTTCTACGTAGGGGATCGACATAAAATATAGACATTGCCACAATCACCAGTTTGGTCGACGACCACAATCTCTGCATCGACATAGAATATTTATGACCCAACCATCAAAAGCAAATTTAATGGATTGGTTTGTCTTAAGTTGATGTATCGGTGTTTTGATCTTTTAAGAGTTTTATAATTTGTTTGTTTACAGCTAAAAGTTTTTAACTAAGCAATTTCTTTTAGCTAATAGTCTTTCTGGTCCTTGATTTTTTCCCCATTCCATAAATTCATGAAAGAAAAAAAACAATTGATATGTAAAATTTGCAATGGAAAATAACATGGATACATAATTTAAACTTTGAGAGGAGTATCTAGCATTTTGAAGGAATCAGAAAATTATTCTATTTTAGTAACTCAGAAATTGCCTTTTATCAATATCAAAATAGGACGCAGAGTACCTTGGTGAAGTCTGCTTGCTTTAATACATGTATCAGATTTCGTTTAAAACGAATTTCGGAGAGGAGTACCCCCTCTCCCGCTGGGGTGTTGTTAAAACGCGGAACGGAACAGCGGAACAGAACGAAAAATCTTGTATCAAGCTATATACTTGGTACAGCTATAAATCAGACAGGTACCAGCATTTTCTTACATTGAATACAATAGTCGACATTAAGATATATCGATGACGTATTATCAATTAACTATTATAGTTACTTCCATTCATATGTCGACTCGATATATCCAAGTGAACTTGAAATAAAAGATACCACAGAGTCTGACACATCTGTTTCATATTGGGAAATTTTACTAGGAAAAAACGTTAATGGTAACCTAACAACAAAACTTTATAACAAACGTGATGACTTCAACTTTTCAGTCGTCAACTTCCCTTACTTATGTAGCAATATACCCTTATCACCTGCCTTTGGGGATTATGTCTCCCAATTGATTCGATACGCAAGAGCTTGCTCTACGTACGAACAATTTCTAAAACGAGGTAAGCTATTGACAAACAAGTTGATGAAACAAGAATATCAACAATCTCGTTTAAAGTCATTATTTCGCAAGTTCTATGGTCGATACAATGACCTTGTCAGTAAATACAATCTATCATTAAGTCGATGCTGACTAACGTTTTTCATACTAATTGTTAGGCCATTATTTACACATTGATTCGTCTACGGATTTTTCCGTTTTCCCGATCATGACAAGAAGCACGGGGCAGGTGTGACCGGTCGGCAGGGGATGCTTACTCCTCCATGGCACCTGATCCCATCTATGATGGTTTTAGAGGTCCGTCCTTGCTCTGCTCCCGATTTGTATTGTATCAATGGACTTTTGAGCTTGATTACTGTTCTTGTCTCCATATTTCATTCATATCTAATTAATTACGTGTACTAATTATCAATAGAATTTGATTTATTAATGATTTTTTTCTCTCAGAACTATACATTGTACATGCAATGACCAATAAAGTTATATAATTGACTCACAGCCAAAGACTCATGCGAGGTTCTAGGACGGGATAGGGTGGGGTGTCCGGACTCCCCCAGGGAGACAGGGTTAGGGTTGTGAGGATGTATTGCTGAATACAACAAATATTTTATTTAGTGCTTAAAGATTTACAAGTTCCCATTTTGTCTTCTGTACTTAAATTCTAACACAGCAAAATTAGACTTTTAAAAGTCAAGTTAAAGATTCTCATTTTTCTTTTTCCAATTACTTTCTTATTTTGTTTTCTTTAGTTAGATAAAATACGAACACCTCAGTACAATTGATGTCTTACAATGAATGACGAAATCCTGCTATAACTACTTCAGTGAAAATGAAAATCAAATCTTAAGTGGTCATTTCAGAAGTTGTTTGAATCTGTATCAGCTACTTATTTTAAGCACCACACCTAAAATAAAGCAAAATCTTATGCGTTTGTGTTTGCCTTTTCCCCGAATCTTGTTTGAATTGTACCTTGCACAGAGACTTGTGACTATTTTAACAAGCCTATCACCTAGATAGACTGTTTATCACTTCAGCAATAATTCAAGTGTCATCATTGTTTCCTTTTTCAAACCTTCTCATTAACTGTATAGGATACATCTTGTGTTAATAAAGAGCTGCTCCTCATTTTAAATTTGTATGTGCTGTTATTTAGCAGTCATTGCACTCTGCAAGCAATAATGATTAAGAAAAAAAAAAACATGAACAATCGATGAAATGTTTTAATATTTACATATGTAAAGAAAATATAGACTTTTGAAGCTAAATGAAACAGTTGACACAATTCAATATCGCAGGTAAATTTCACTCAATCTACACCAGCTCATGTGCATCATAACAACTAGTGCTCAACCAATGAAAGTGTAGGAATCTACACAAAAATATTTACATCTATTCTGATATGATATTTACCTATGAACTCTACAGGTAAAAAAATACATTTTTAGATTCATATAATAAACCTTATATCAAAAAGATATTACATATACACTGTAATCTGTTTCTGGAAAAAGTTCAATTTATGGTCAAGAATTTCAAAAAAAAAAAAAAAAAAAAAAAAAAAAATGGAATGAAATAAAATACAGGAATGTATATTAGAAAGCAGAATATAGAACCATTATAATGCTCTTCAGCAAAAAAAAAAAAGATCTTCACAGACTACAGATTTTAATCAATTAGTCTGCTAGTTTATAGGCATAGAAGCAGACAAGTTGTGCAGTATGTGAAGTGAAATCTACAATAAAGATTTAAAAAAAAAATGGCTAAAAATAATGCTTAACTTTGAACACAAAACATTACATGTTTTATAAACATCCAAACAAAGGCAAGTGATGTAAATATCACAGAATATGCATATTTCAAGATATGTATGGTATAGCAATAGCAAAATATGTGTACAGATATAAAAAGAAGATTAGAAAGAAAATTCTGTTTATACATGTAATTCTACATGTTTAAATTAAGTTAGTTTACATTAATCACCAGCTTTAATCATGATTAAACTTTTCAATCGGAAATTAAAAGAACTGATTAATTAACATGAACATATTTTATTACAGGGAATGCACCATGTAACTGTTTCATTGAATTGTACTGTGGAATCATCAATGTTCGTGGGGGACCAATGCTCATGGATTTTTTTGGTCACTCTTATCCACGAACAATTTACATCCTCACAAACAATTATTTTGTCAACATATTTATTCATGAATCTTCTGTATATATGAGTTACCCACAAAATTACGTTCCCATGAACCAACAAAATTTTGCTTACCCACGAACATTGACCCCCACGGATTAAAATGATTCCACAGTATATCATTTCAGACATGAACAACATTGAACTCAGCCTCCCAGGACTGGTGAATCGACAAAAATCACTTCTTTTCCTGCTTTCTTTTGTTCAAATATTCTTATCTACAACAAATAAAATCATATGCATCAAATATTCTTATATTAAACCATCAATTGACAGCACAGGAATAAAAAGTTAAAAGATAAAAATCCCTGGTACGGTAAGAATACTTACAGTGTTGGCTTTCTCATTCTTTAGAATACTCCCCGGAACATAGAGTGTCCTCTGGGGTCCCTGACTCCAGTAACGACCCAGATTAAAATGGTTAATAAAAACAACTCCTTTAGACCAACCCTGAAGAACAGAACAGCTACACGAATAAGATAACAGAGAGATAGCCAGGACTGGAAATATACATGTATGTGGCTTATGAACAAATTGATTTCAAAGTCATAATTGGCTACCAATAGTTGATTTCATTTACTAAGCATCTCAAATATGAAATCAGCAACAACAATGTGAGCTATTTTTTTCCAATACAATATTTATATCTACAGACACCAATTTTACCTTAGACAACTGATATACAGTAATACTATTCTTATTTTGCAATACATTTATATCTAGGAGGGTTGATCCAAAACTAATGTCAACTGCTATTAAATCTTTAATAATTGAAAGTTTTCAACAAAACTTTAAACACTAATACCTCCATCTATTTTGACTTTTGTCCTAAAATTTCATTTAGATATATCCAATGCTTTATAAAATATTAAAATAAACACAAAATTGGATCTCGTTGATCACGCAAGAATGTACTGACGTCATTCTGATGTTTCTCTTGGACCTAATATTGAATCTGATGATGCCAGAGATTTACTCAAATATGAATGCATTTAGAAATAACATTTGGACAAAGATAAAATAATTTTAACACTACAATTCAAAACAAAATGGTTTATAGCAAAATGGCAGTAAAGATTATTAAAAAAAAAGTATGCGAGAGATCAAATGCATGTAATTCTTGTGCGGCTGTCTTTGTGTCTGACTCTAAAGAGGCCTTATATGCATGTAATTCTCGTGCGGCTGTCTTTGTGTTTGACATCAGTGGGCGGGGTCTATTGAAATTGACATGTGAGGCCTCGTGTAATTTAAATCTATAAGTCTACATTTTTAAAATCTAAATTTACAATTTTATTTCAAAATGATATGGAAATATAAGGAATCACTGTCTAGTTAGTAGAGTATGCCAGGGACATCAATGATAGTTGGAAACGTGGGATAATTTATGCATAACGGGCTTCGCCCCTTATGCAAATTATCCCACGTTTCCAACTATCGTTGATGCCCCGGCATACTCTACTAACTAGACAGTGATTCCTTAAATTAAAAGAGATTTTGAGGTGAAAATTAAAATAGATAGGGGTATTAGTGTGTCAAATTTTGTTGATAACATTTGATTATTTATAGCAGTTGTGACATATTACTTTTGGATCAACCCTCGTACAACTACCAATTCTCTCGAGGAGTAACTCACATCCATAGATAGAAATGTGTCTTTAGGTGTACCCTGTATGTCAAACTCCGCAGAAAAGATGGCTGGTGATGCTTCTCTCTTAACAAGGGGTCTGTATCCACTATTAACCCATATACTGCAAACCAGAAATAACAGCATTGACAGAGTTTATATTTACATGTACATCTACATATATGTATTCCAAATGCATTCTAACAAAAATGTGCCTCAAATGGCCTTACAGAGGCCTTGGTACATGTAGTAATATGGGTATTATGAATTTCTAAAATTGATCAACCTAGGTCCACCTACATGCAAGACTTAAACTTTGGACCATGTTTGACAAAAGTTTGAAGACTTTAGTGAGAACTCTCTTTTTATTACCATTATACAGGTAGTTTGGCTGCTAGATATCCAGCTGTAAATATTATAAGACGATGAACAGGTATTTTTATTATGTGTAATGATCAAGTTATCCCTACTCCTATAGCTTAATCCTGTGTCTAGGGGTCATGAATTTCTAAATGACAGTAGAGACACTACAGCTCATTATAGCCAGGACGCTGACAAGAGGAGCACACCCTTGCAACTTGATTTCATTCTAAGAACACAGTTCCTAGTACAATGATATTAAGTTCACAACAAAATGAACTCTAATCACTATCCTTTACCTTTAATCTTTGACCCTGGAATCAATAAGCTTGTCCCAAGGGACCATTTCATTTCTATAGCAGTATAGGAAATGGTAAGGTCAAGTGATTTTCTTTTAAGGTCAGACACCACGTTCCTCAAATATATGTTTTGTATCTCTTGGTATAATATTAAAAATTATTCATATTTGTCTTTCTCTTGTTTTCAGTATGTTTTGAAAAGTAAGTACACCAAAAATTGTGACATTAGCAATTCAAAAGATTACCCATAAGGATTATAAAAAGAAATATCCCCCTCTGATATCTTGCCAAAAATGCCTGGTAACAAAAGTACCCCAATTTTTTGTGAGGAAACTTGTTAAAGTAGCAATACTTCAGTGACAAATTCTTGAGAAAAATTATATATTTTTGAGGAATGTGTCATCTGACCTTAATTAACAAACTTACCCCATCTTTGACCTTGACCTTGACATACAGTTTATAAATGTTGCATAATAAATGGGCACACATATAGCAGTTGCTATTCAGTTGAAATGAAAATGAGTACATCAGTCTTACTTGTTAAGGTACTGAGGCTGGAAGTCTAGTGGATAAATGTTCCAGTCAGTCAAGGCTTCCTTGGAATTGTTTACAAACACTTCTCCAATTATACCTGTAATGTGAGAATACTTCTCATGAAAACAAGAGGCCCAAGGGCCTTGAATCGCTCTTCTGATAAACTGTACAACCTATCACTTCTATTTGATGATTCTAATCCAAACAGTACCCCAAAAATATTAAATACAGCCATAAAATTTCAAAAGTAGGTCAGGGTGACCTACTTCTCAGTTGTCGTACTCCAAGGACCCAAGATGCATCAACTGACGAAGTTTGATGATTCTAAGCCAATTAGTTCCTGAAATATTTAATTAAAGCTATAAATTTTCAAAAGTAGGTCATGGTGACCTACTTTTCAGTCGACTTACTCCGACGACCCAAGATGCATCAACTGACAAAGTTTGATGATTCTAAGCTGATTAGTACCTGAAATATTTAATTATAGTCCTATAAATTGAAAATTAGATCACGGTGACCTACTTTTCAGTCGACCTACTGCCAGGACCCAAGATGCATTAACTGACAAATTTTGATGATTCTTAGCAAAATAGTACCCGAAAATATTAAATACAGCCATAAAATTTCAAAAGTAGGTCACCATGACCTACTTTTCAGTTGTTGTACTCCAAGGACCCAAGATTCATCAACTGACAAAGTTTGATGATTCTAAGCAAATTGGTTCCTGAAATATATAATTAAAGCCATAAATTTTCAAAAGTAGGTCATGGTGACCTACTTTTCAGTGGACTTACTCTGAAGATCCAAGATGCATCAACTTACAAAGTTTTATGATCATAGGCCTTAAAATGTCCAAATTATGCCTCTAAAATGCTTTGAAATCGAATGCCTGCAAAGTTCAAAAAGTAGGTCACTGTGACCTACTTTTTAATACATATGTTTTATGGCTCCAAGATGCATCATCTTGCAAGATTTTATGATTCTAAACCTCTCAGTATTCAAATTATTGACCTTAATTGTTTTGTAAAAGATTAGCCATAAAATTCAAAAAGTAGGTCAAGGTGACCTACTTTTTAGTTGACGTACTTCAATGACCCAAGATACATCAACTGACAAAGTTTGATGATCATAGGCCTTTAATAGCCATTCTCTGTAACCACTTAAACTTTTGTGGCACGCATAGTCACAGATTTTTTTCAAATTTGGCTAGAATTTACCACCTCATAAACTACTCCAAAAAATATTGTTAGATCATATGAATGTTGAGTAGTTACCATGGAAACGGTGTCTAAAGTTGATTTTTTCTGAAAAAATGCAATTTTTGGGAATGTCAATCAATGAAATGCGGCTACTTCAATTCATGTTACTCACAGAAAAAAAGTATGAGATCTAATTTTAAAAGTCATTTAAAAACATTGTTGGTATTCAGTCTATAAATATAAGAAATCTTTGATTAAAATAGCAGACATTCATTTAAAAATTGAATTATCTCCCTTTGAAAATTGTGAGCTCTTTAGTGTGAGAGATAAAAAAATCATTGGACAAAACTGACTGGAAGTTGTTTACATTATCAACATGTATCCTGGATTTCAAGTAAAATCAAGTGGTTTTTTTCTGTTTAATTAATGTGCATACAAATTTTAACCTCTTTGTTTATTACCTGCATGCAAAAGAATAATTTTGATGAGTGAACAATGGCGAAATGTAAAAGACCACATGGTCCAGGAAATCAGCTCTGTGCACATTCATGATATTGAAGCCTAAGCCTCAAGGTCTTATGAGCTTTAAAATGGGGATAAAAGATAAACTTGAGATATCAGAATTATATTGAATTGGTTGTAAGAAGAGGTACAATGTCCTAGTCAGAGTGATATATTAAAATGAATACAGCCTTGGAAAGTCAGTGCCTTTTTAATACAAATATGGAAAAAAACCCAAAACTGAATTATAATGTGAGAGAACTAGGCTATTGATTTTACCTAAATAATTAAAGTCAAGCTACATTTACATGTTTGTACAGAACTGGAAGTTGAAGTTGAATATAGAATGATGTATGTAAGTTGATGTCTGTCATTAAAGGGATGACCATTTGATGCGAGGGGGGGGGGGGTTACTGATTTTAGAGACTAAAGTCCGTTCTTGAAAATGTTGAAAATAAATAATCCATATTTGATAAGTGCTACAACCTCCAACCCAAAGGCACTTGTTTCGGTAATACTTTTTTAACCCATATTATAATAATTATTATTATTATACTATGGGTTAAAAAAATTATTCCTGAAACAAATGCCTACCCCCCCCCCCCCCCCCCCCCAGAAATAAAGTTTGGGCGTTTTCCCTTGGGGCAGGATGGATTGTTTATTTTATTTTCAGACTTTTTTCAGTGAAGCAAAAAATACATAATCTGTCCTGGATCATACTGGAAATAAATAATCTGTCCTTCAATTCCATGAAAATAAATAATCTGACTCGGAAAAAATTTGCCCCCCCCCCCCCTTCTGAATCAAATGGTCGTCCCTTAACCCATAGTCAACGCAGTCATATTATGCAGTTTTAAACAGAATTTATGTCATTCATAATTTACAGTTTTTATATGATGAGTGTTTTCACTTGATAGGATTTGCTACATTTAAAATATAAACTGATATTCTTTACACCCTCATTCTAAAATTAAAGAACGTAAAAGTATATTTTATCTCTATTTAAAGGCTACATGTAGAAAAAAAATCCACACATAAAAACCCTGTATTAGTGTGGGATGTAACAGAAAACTCGATCTTTTTAATACTACTGTTTGCTTTTATCTGTATCTGATTTAGAAAAAAAAGAGAGAAAAGTTATCTGTGTATATTTCAGATTTGAACTTTTTATTCAATGACTTTGAAAATATTTTCAAAGAAATTGATAATGTTCCTGATCCAAGTATTTTCTTTAAGGGAATGGTCTTTATCCCCCCCCCCCCCCCCCCCACCCCCCCACAAAAAAAAAAAAAAAAAAAAAAAAAAGAATAAAAAAATTGTTATGGTCAGTAATGAAAATGTTTTGTTTTGTAATTGATTCCTTTCGACCAGTGAAAATTATACCGGGTACTTTTAATTTTTTTTAAGGGGGGGGGGGGGGGTGCATAGAAACACAAATTGTCTGAATCATATTTAAAGTTACCATTTTTATCAAGTTTATCATTTCTCTAGACTAAGAAAAATGTAGATTGAACCTTGTAGCAGTAAAATTAATAGTAAATCTGTGTAGCTGTATTTTATTAATAATGAAAACATAAATAAATTTATGACAAGCCCCCCACCCCCACCCCACCCCTTTCTACCAAAAGAAAAAAATCATAAAATTAAACACAAAAAATCTATACTCGGGAATGGGGGCGGGTTGGGGTTAATCACTTATGAATGAACTGCTTTCTTTCATATTTATATATAACGCTTCTTAATGTTTCACAAGGGATCCGTGTTTTTCTTACAAATGAGTCTTACCAATTTATGTGGGGTAAGTGCTTTTACATAGCTTTTTAGTGACAGGGTACGGGATGATACCTGGTTAGTAAATTTCATACCTGGTTCGGCTTCAAGGACTCAAGTTTAGAAATTATGTTTACAATACAACCCATAAGGTGTACGATTCTATCAAGCTTACCAACCAACACAAACTTACCAACCGACATAAATTCGAGAAAACACAAAATCAGATTATCTGAGCAGGTTAATTTTCAAGTTTTAAAGAATAATACATGATAGATTTTTACTGTTTTACAAAGTAAAATAGATTTAGACTTTTTCTATCAACTTCTCTGAAAAAAAGTCACAGGAAAACACATTTTGACTGGAAAAGTGTGGAGTGTTCAATAGGGTCTAAAAATGTAAATTTTAGAACAAGGACTTAGTCTACCAAAACAACAAGAGATACAATAAGAAGCTGTGTCCCCTGCTTAAGGAAACAAGAGGCCCATGGGCCACAACGCTCACCTGAGTAACATTGGCCCTTCTGTTCTTCACCTAATTTCCTACCTTGTAATACCTATTGTGCCCCCCCCCCGGCGGTCAAGATTTGAACAATTTAGAACCTACACTACCCCAGGATGCTTCCACATAAGTTTCAGCTTTTCTGGCCTAGTGGTTCTTGAGTAGAAGATTTTTCCTATATATATCAATGTAAAACTTGTTTCCCTATTGTGGCCCTGCCCTGTCCCCGGGGGTCACGATTTGATCAATTTAGAATCTACACTTCCCCAGGATGCTTCCACATAAGTGTCAGCTTTTCTGGCCCAGTGGTTCTTGAGGAGAAGATTTTTAAAGGTTTTTACAACATATTTCAATGTAAAACTTGAATTCTCTATTGTGGCCCCGCCCTACCCCCAGGGGTCATGATTTGAATAATTTAGAATCTACACTACCCCAGGATGCTTCCACATAAGTGTCAGCTTTTCTGGCCCAGTGGTTCTTGAGAAGAAGATTTTTAAAGATTTTTACAACATATTTCAATGTAAAAATTGGATTCCCTATTGTGGCCCCTCCCTACCCTCGGGGGTCATGATTTGAACAATTTAGAATCTACACTACCCCAGGATGCTTCCACATAAGTTTCAGCTTTTCTAGCCTAGTGGTTCTTGAGGAGAAGATTTTTAAAGATTTTTACAACATATTTCAATGTAAAACTTGAATTCTCTATTGTGGCCCCGCCCTACCCCCAGGGGTCATGATTTGAACAATTTAGAATCTACACTATCCCAGGATGCTTCCACATAAGTTTCAGCTTTTCAGGCCCAGTGGTTCTTGAGAAGAAGATTTTTAAAGATATTTTCTACATATTTCAATGTAAAACTTGAATTCTCTATTGTGGCCCCGCTCTACCCCCGGGGGTCATGATTTGAACAATTTAGAATCTACACTACCCCAGGATGCTTCCACATATGTTTCAGCTTTTCAGGCCTAGTGGTTCTTGAGAAGAAGATTTTTAAAGATTTTTACAACATATTTCAATGTAAAACTTGGATTCCCTATTGTGGCCCCGCCCTACCCCCGGGGGTCATGATTTGAACAATTTAGAATCTACACTATCCCAGGATACTTCCACATAAGTTTCAGCTTTTCTGGCCCAGTGGTTCTTGAGAAGAAGATTTTTAAAGATATTTTCTACATATTTCAATGTAAAACTTGAATTCCCTATTGTGGCCCCGCCCTACCCCCTGGGGTCATGATTTTAACAATTTAGAATCTACACTACCCCAGGATGCTTCCACATAAGTTTCAGCTTTTCTGGCCTAGTGGTTCTTGAGAAGAAGATTTTAAAAGATTTTTACAACATATTTCAATGTAAAAATTGGATTCCCTATTGTGGCCCCGCCCTACCCCCGGGGGTCATGATTTGAATAATTAAGAATCTACACTACCCCAGGATGCTTCCACATAAGTTTCAGCTTTTCTGGCCCAGTGGTTCTTGAGAAGAAGATTTTTTAAAGACCCCATCCAATTTTTGTCTTTTCTTGATTATCTCCCCTTTGAAGGGGACTTGGCCCTTCATTTTAACAATTTAAACTCTCCTTTACCCATGGATGCTTTGTACCAAGTTTGGTTAAAATTGGCCCAGTGGTTCTTGAGAAGAAGTTGAAAATGTGAAAAGTTTACAGACGGACGGACGGACAGACGGATGGACGGGCGGACGGACAACGGGTGATCAGAAAAGCTCACTTGAGCTTTCAGCTCAGGTGAGCTAAAAAGAGCATGTACGGATCTTGAGGGCTGGGAGGATGGTGGAGTTGGGGGGACGGGATACTTTAAGAGTTGCAGGTGGGACCAAAGGGAGTTATGATATAAAATTTCATTGCAAAAGCTTAAAAGCTTCTTGAGATATTGCACGGAAATGAAAATTTTACACACAAACAGAGTGTCTAAATTTTTGACCTTGACCTTTGACCTTTTGAACTCGAAATCAATAGTGGTCTTCTTTAGGCCAAAGGGAGTTTCAGTGTAAAATTTCATTGCAAAAGCTCGAAGTTTTTGAGATATTGCGCTGAAATAGTGTTAAAACAGACAGAATTTATGAATTCATGACCTTTACCTTTGACCTTAAAATCAATGGGGGTCTTCCTTAGGCCACAGGGAGTTGTTATATAAACTTTCATTGCAAAGGCTCAAAGGCTTCACGAGACATCATGCAGAAACGAAAGTGTTGCAAAAAGACAGACGGATGGACGTCAGACAGACCTAAATAAATATCCCCCACCTTAAGTGAAAGCAGGGGAAAAAAAGGCAAATTTTATATACCAATGTGTCCTTGAACTTTGACCTTCTGTCCATATTTACCAATTCATGTGATGCTAGTTACATGTATTGTCCACCAGAACTGTAAGTTTGTTTATTCACAATTATGTTGTTTAAAAAACAAGTATTAGTTATGGCATTGAAAAAATGTGCTTAGTTTCCTTACTTTTCCATCTAAATCCAGCCATTTTGACCTTGGCCTTTGACCTTTTGTTATGAAAATTGATTTTTTTTCTTTGTTTTTGCTATTGTACAAATTTGGTTTTAATCCATTTTAAAATACTCAGGTATTTATATGGAAAATAATAGTAGATGCCTATTGCCCTTGTCTGGAATTCTTTAAAAAAGCATTAGTTTGTAACCATGGTAACATGAAAACAAGATATGAATACCAAGTGGTTCTTTACAGTTTATATTACAACTAATTATGGACTTTCAAACCAATGTATTTATTTTTTCCAATATGTCCGCAAAAATTTATACCAGGCTTTTCAAAAGAGCCTAAAATCTACAATTTTTCCTTAGAAAAATCATACTTAAAAGGGGGGATATTTTTTCTATGAAGTTAAGTTACTCAAATACTAGAAATTATCTAAAGAACTATAAAAATGATGTATTTTGACAAAAAGATAAAGTCATGTAAATATCTTGTTGTATTGAAGACTTTTAATTAGTCAAAAATGATCATTTTTCATCAAAATTTAGCATTTTTAGGTCATGAAAAATGTATGTTGATTGCCATGGTAACCATTGACCATAGCAACCATTTTATTATGAATTTTAGTTTCATACATCATTATAGGAATGTGTGCCAAGTTTCATAAAAATCTAAGACCTAGCGTGCCACACTCCCTATATAAGAGTTTAAATGCTTACAGAGAATGGCTATTAATTATTCAAAATATGCATCTAAATCATTTTGATAAAGAATGGCCGCAAAATTTAAAAAGTAGGTCACCGTGACCTACTTTTAATTCTTAGATACCTCAACTGACAAGATTTGATGATCCTAGTCCTTATAGTAAGCAAAATATCAACATTTTAATAAAATGTAATTTTTGGTCAACTTTGAAGTGACCTTGAGACCACGCCCTTTGCCCCAGGGTGATGCCTTGAACAATTTTTAATCTACAACATATCTTCATCCTTTTGTGTAAGATTGGTGATAATATGCCCCGTGGTTCTTGAGAAGAAGATTTTTTAGCAACCAGTACTTTTGTTTCTATTTTCTTAATTATCTCCCCTTGTTTAAGGGTCACAACCCTAGTTTTAGTTTAAAAGGGAGCCCTTGGGCCAAGGATACCCTGTGACAAATTTGACAATAATTGGCCAAGGGGTTCTTGAGTTATGGCCCATATTCTAAAAAGTTTACGCACACCGCACAAATGGCCATAGCATTAGCTCTTTGAGCCTTTGGCTCAGAAGAGCTAAACAAGAGGCCCATGGGCCACATCGCTCACCTGAGCACATTGGCTAGGCAAAAGCACAATCAGTTCAGCATAAAAGACCAGGTGGGGGGGGGGGGGGGGGGGGGAGGGGGGGGCTTGAATTTTAAACTACCTGATGATGCTTCCATGTCAATATAACAAATGGCTTTGTTGTACTTGAGAAGATTTTTTTAAAAAAATTCCCATATATTCCTTTTTAAAAATTTGATCCCTCATTGTGGCTCCTCCCTATCCCAGGGATCATCATTTGAACAAACTTGAATCTACACTACCTGAGGATGCTTCCATATCAATATGACTAAACATAGCTTTTCTGTTCTTGAGAAGAAATATTTTTTCTATATGTTCTTATGTAAAACTTTCCTTCCCCCATTGGGCCCCATCCTACCCCTGGGGGTCATCATTTGAACAAAATTGAATCTACACTACCTGAGGATGCTTCCATATCAAAATGACTAATCATGGTTTGCAGTTCTTCAGAAGAAGATATTTTCCTTTATATTTCTATGTAAAACTTTGATCCTCCATTGCAGCCCCGCCCTACCCCCGGGGGACATGGTTTGAACAAATTTGAATCTACACTACCTGAGATTGCTTCCATATAAATATGATTCATCATGGCTTTGCTGTTCTTGAGAAGAAGATTTTTAAAGATTTTTCCTATATATTTCTATGTAAAACTTTGATCCTCCATTGTGGCCCCGCCCTACCCCCGGGGGTCATGATTTGAACAATTTTGAATCTACACTACCTGAGGATGCTTCCATATAAATATGACTCATCATGGCTTTGCTGTTCTTGAGAAGAAGATTTTTAAAGATTTTTCCTATATATTTCTCTGTAAAACTTTGATCCTCCATTGTGGCCCCGCCCTACCCCCGAGGGTCATCATTTGAACAAATTTGAATCTACACTACCTCAGGATGCTTCCATATAAATATGACTCATCATGGCTTTGCTGTTCTTGAGAAGAAGATTTTTAAAGATTTTTCCTATATATTTCTATGTAAAACTTTGATCCTTCATTGTGGTCCCGCCCTACCCCCGGGGGTCATCATTTGAACAAAATTGAATCTACACTACCTCAGGATGCTTCCATATAAATATGAATCATCATGGCTTTGCTGTTCTTGAGAAGAAGATTTTTAAAGATTTTTCCTATATATTTCTATGTAAAACTTTGATCCTCCATTGCAGCCCCGCCCTACCCCCGGGGGTCATGATTTGGTCAAACTTGAATGTACACTACCTAAGGATGCTTCCACATGAGTTTCATCTTTCCTGGCCCTATGGTTCTTGAGAAGAAGATTTTTAAATGATGCCATTATTTTTTCAGTAATTCCTAATTATCTCCCCTTGAAAGAGGGCATGGCCCTTCATTTGAACAAACTTGAATCCCCTTTACCCAAGGATACTTTGTGGCAAGTTTGGTTGAATTTGGCCCAGTGGTTCTTGAGAAGAAGTCGAAAATGTGAAAAGTTTACAGACAGACAGACGGACAGACAGACAGACGGACGCCGGACAAAATGTGATCAGAAAAGCTCACTTGAGCTTTCAGCTCAGGTGAGCTAAAAACCCTATACAGCAGTATTTTGCTGTTTGAACATATAATACGGGCCATTTGAATTTAAAAAAAAAACTCAAGAGAAATTTGAGATGACTTTAGCAGGTCTTCTAAGCAGAATGTGGTTTCTTTGCAATACAGCTAGTTGAATAGGTGGTAATTACTAATAATTTTTAATTATAATCATTAAAACAGTACCTTTGTATTCCTGATTCAGACTATCTTTACCAAATCTCACATAGTTAACTCTTCCAAGATTTTCCACTAGCAAGTCCAGTGTGTTATGTTTCTAAATAAAAACCAAATAATGATATTGTAGGGTCATCTTAGAGCAAATGTATTACATGAAAATATGTGATACTTAATTAACATCTAATATTAATCACATGTCCAATGAAATTAAATTATTGATATACATGTATATAATTACTTTAAATTATTTTTAAACCATTAACCATTTACTGGAAATATATATCATCCCATATTATTTCTCCCCAGACATTGAAGTGTAGATGTTACATAGAGAACACAAAAAAATGACACCTATTTGCCACAATCTAAACTTGGAATATTTCCATACAATAATCACTTCTAATTTACAACACATTGATGATACCTAAATCTGAGATTTTTTTTGGTCTATCAGTAATAGATTATTTTAAGTTTTTCTCATACACACTTAAGTACAAGTATTTTACATCCCGGGATTCCCCTCAAACTGTTTTACTACCTCAAAAATGGGGTGAAGCTAAAGCAAATTTATCTTGGATAACAAGTGTTAGATCTGTATATTATACCACAATCTAAAAATGGTTAGTGTCACACCCATGCAAGACATCACAAATTCAATACAGCAATGGTAAGAATACCTTTATTATGATTACCTCATCCATTCTCACGGGTCCTACTAAGTCCATGTGTATAACATAAACATTATGATTACCTCATCCATTCTTACAGGTCCTACTAGGTCCATGTGTATAACGTAAACATTATGATTACCTCGTCCATTCTTACAGGTCCTACTAAGTCCATGTGTATAACATAAACATTATGATTACCTCGTCCATTCTTACAGGTCCTACTAAGTCCATGTGTATAACATAAACATTCTGATTACCTCGTCCATTCTTAGAGGTCCTACTAAGTCCATGTGGATAACATAAACATTCTGATTACCTCGTCCATTCTTACAGTTCCTACTAGGTCCATGCGTATAACATAAACATTCTGATTACCTCGTCCATTCTTACAGGTCCTACTAAGTCCATGTGTATAACATAAACATTCTCATTCCAATCATATGTAGCTACCTCTTTACCATTCCAAAATACCTTTAAAAAAAAAACTATGTCTGGATACATGTACCTGTTTACATTAAAATTCAAAGTTGTAGTTCCTACAGTGTACATAAAAAATGTAATATTAAGTGCAACATGAATTCAGGGAACAATTTGGTATGCATACAATAAAATAAATTTTTGATTAAGAGGTATTCAGTCATTGATACATCTAAGTAAAATAAATTAACAATATAATTAACATTTAATTTGTTGCTATAATTTCAAGATTGTCAAACTAAGGAATATTTTATTTTATATAAATCATTTTTATATATATTATTTGTTTTGATTCAAAGGATCATAATCTGTATCAACCAACCTGCATACGATCTTGCATTATTCCTTTAATTTCTAATTTTTGGATCTTTGGCAGGATTTTCCTATACAGTATAAATCCATAGTTCTGTCCACCTCCATGATGTAAAGTTAGATGCTCCATGGAATAAATATTCTTTGAACCTATCTTTCCCTGAAATATTTTCTCAAAAAAATGTTTATTTTCTTAAGCCAGAAATATTGAAATATTAATATCTAAGAAATATTTTGTACTTCTGAATATAGTCTTTCTACAACATTCATGAGCGTACTTTAATTTCGTCCAACATGTTCTCAAAAGGCAAGTAGGACTTGATTGGTACAGTTCCATAAGCTGCTTTTTCTGTGTTTCTGGGAATTTCTTTCAGGGTTGCTCCATGAAAATGTTGGACATCGTCCTGGTGCTGTAGTAAAAGTTCTCGGATGATGTGGTACTTCTCAGTCACATCTCCTGCCTCTGATAATGGAGCCATGTAATCTACAACAAAGATTACAACTGTTCCTGGTTTATGTGCTTACCTAAAGCTGTACTCAAACAACTGTAACTGAAACATCAATGCAACATTTAACCTGCTAATAATCAACATAGACATAAATCCATGTACATGTGTAAATGTTCTTTTATTAAACCAAAACCTAAAGAAATAAAATAGTATCAATGAAATAATATTGAGAGACATATATACCCCCATATGGCAAAATAAAAAAAAAGGGGGGGGGGGTCAATTTTAAATGAAGAATGTCTGTAATGATAGTTAGAAACTGGGTAACCTACATGTACTAGCTGAGGCAAACATAATTTGAAGTCTGATCCCTATCAGACATTGATATCATTTGGGGTAATTAACTTCTTAAAGGGGTACGAGTGTACCAAAATGTCTGTCAAGCAAAGGGTTCTCAAGAAACTGAGCAGACAAAATATTTCTATGGCCAGTTTGACCTTGACTTTTGATCTTTTGACCTCAAAATCAACAGGGGTCATTTACTTCTTAGAGGGAACCAGTGTACCAATTTGATGTCTGTCACAAAAATTTTCAAAATATTGGGCAGTAAATACTGTATATAGGGAAATTTTTGTTTTATTATTTTCGTTATTTTCGCTCCTTTAGTCCTCATGTTAAGTAGGGGCTAATTCAAAGAACACAAAGTTAACTCTTTAGTACAACTAAGTCTGGACAAATTTAAAATGGGGCACAATTGTTATTAAGTGTGACAGGGCAAAATAACACAAGGCAAAAATAACCCAGTATACAGCATCCTTTATGTCCATTTTTACTATTGACCTTTGACTCTGTGACCTCAAAATCAATAAATATTATCTATTCCCTACAGAGACCCTATATACCAAGTGTGAGTCAGTCAGGCAAAGGGTCCCATAGCAAAAGATATCTTTTTTGTCTTGAGTAGTTTAACCCTCAACCCTTGACCTTGTGATCTCAAAACCAAAGGGTGTCATCTACTCCAATGGGGAAACAGTGTACCAAGTTTGATGTCTGTCAACCAAAGAATCTCACAATACTGAGCAGACAATATCTTTATTTTTCCAATTTAACCATTGACCTTTAACTCTGTAACCTCAAAATCAATAAGGGTCATTTACTCCTTACAGAGGACCAGTGTTTCAAGTTTGTTATCAGTAAAGCAAAGGATTCTCAAGATATTGAGTGGACAACTGAAAGACACGCTGACAGACCAACAGGTGCACAACAATATGCCCACTCCATTCAAGGGGGGAGGGGAATAAAAAAATATTTTTCTTACCGTAACTTGTTGTTACTGGGCTGTACTGTTTATGTAGATAATTTCCTCCATTCATAAAACCAAAGTTTGTGCCCCCTCTGAACATGTAAAAATTAATTGATGCCCCTTTCTCTAGCAACTTTGTTAAAATTTCCTTCAGTCCTGAAATGATATGCATGCAGATTGCAAATATCCTCAAAAATGAGCTTGTCAAAATTTGCTTTCTAAATCTAAGATCATGCATGCATATGTTATACATGAAGCATACAGACTTTCTGTAGGTAAGTCTCCACTGTGAGGACGTCCCCATTCATCAAACCATCCAGACCAGTACTCCATGACAAAGAGGGGGAACTCATCACTGAGACCCTGGACAAAATCCATCAGCTGTTGTCCCCCGGCATCCAAATCCTTAAAATTCACCGTAGGTAAAGCCTCTAAAACGTCAAACAGGATTTATGTACAAGACTTATCTTTGCCCAACACTTCAAGGCCATTTTTGGGGGGTCCATAACATATAAAATGTTGATTTTTCATTTACTTCAGTATGCATGACATGCAAGAAAATAGACATTCCATAAAATCAGCCTTTTTTAATAACCATTTGTTGTCAGAATAACATTGTAAATACATTATAATTTGCCTTGGACTGCCTGACAACTTCCCTTCTACATGGCTGGTTAACCAGACCTATTTCTGAGGACAGTAACAAACCTGTTTACTACATACACCACTGGGTTCTAAGACCATGTTAAGGGGTGCAATAAAAATTGATGTTGAATAAAATAGGTGGGGGAGGGGGTGTTGTCAAGAGCCCTAAATGTTTTTGTTGTCAATTGATAACTATACCAAAAGTGCATATAGTAGATGATACATGTACTTTTATTATTGATTTTTGAAATGATTTTTAATGAATAAATAAAAGAAAGATAAGTTATTTACAATTTTATTAATACTAGTATTTGTTAAATATGAATAAAATTTCAATCAACACTCATAACATTCAGTTTTGAGGGGTTGGGGTGGGGGTACCTTGATGAAAATCTGTGTGAATTTAGTTTGTTTTAAAAAGCCCTTAAGGAAAATCATATTCTTATCTTTGATTGGGAATTCCATAAAAGTCTAAATTATCTCAATTTAAATCACCAGCTTTCAATGGCTCTCATGTTTGAAAGAGGCAAAGTGTGCAAGAATTAGTGTATACAGCTCTGAATTCATTCTAAGATTAACTCTGTGATTTCTAATCAAACACATTTTGCACTCTGTTATGAGCTCCTTATTTTCTGACCAGACTTAATTCCACAGTTTTGTCATATCATAAAAGCGGCAAAATTAAAACTGCATGGAAAATAAATAAGTAAACAAAATTTACAGGAAGACAATTATGCAATAACCTACCGTAAACAATGGAATGTAATCCGTGTTTCCAACTCGATATCTCGGAATCAGATGTAAAGAACATCTCCACCACTCCATGTTTCTTCATCATCTACAGAAATCAAATAAAACAATTCAATATTTTCTCTCCAGGATTAGGAGGAGTTCTTGTAAAACTTGTATTATATCAACTACAGTAAAACATTGTTGTAACAAACACACTTATGATGAATTGACGCTTATAGAGAGGTGATTTTCATTCCCCTTAGCTTTTAAATGTAATCACAGTAATGTGGACTTAATGGATATAATGAATTACGTTTTTAACGAAGCAAAATCATTCGTTCCTGGCACTTCGTTATAAACGTGTTTTACTGTAATTATATTTCCTTGTAATACATGCATGTATATAGCATATATCTACTTCAGAGCAAATTAACTTTTGTGTTAATTCATGAATTCAAGATTTCATGAAGCTTACCTTCTTTAAGGTCTTTAAATGGTTTACTTCTGTACTGTATGATGCAAACTCATTCTCAATTTGGAACGCAATAATAGGACCTCCCTTACCATACTGAGAAAAAGAATTCAAATGTGATGAGTCTAAATGTAGTATCAAAACTAATCAAGATAATGTACATCACGTAGATTGGTCAATATGATTTTAAAGAATATTACTTTTCTGGGAATCTGAATATATTAGATACTGAAGATAAACCATTCATGTACTTTAAAACCATATCAAGCATGAGCTAGTAATTTCAATGTCTCCCTACTCGCACTTAATGTTTTTTGTAAAAATTAACAAAAATAAATGTTTCATGACTTTTTTAAATAGAAAGGTTTCTAATCCTTACTTGAAGGTCCTGGATATGTGGTATAAGATGAGCAAAATATTTGTCCACAGCTGTAAGGTAGCCTTCATAATTAGACCGGACTTTCATGTCGTCGTCTTTTAACAGCCAACTTAAATAAACCAAAGAGGAAACTATCACTCTCAATATTATATCCATCACTTTGAACTACACAGGTGATATACAAAAAATTTACATGTACATTATAATTTTTGTAATTATTGAATCTATGACCAGTTCATTTCATTTCAGTGGTGTGGAAAACGTAAACTGTGGCCTACCTAGGAAGACCACCGAATTCCCACTCGGAGCAAATATATGGACCAGGACGTAATATTACATACAATCCATAAGACTTAGCAGTCTGAATGAACTCCCTGAAAAAAGCAAAACTTACCGTAATAGATGTACTTTTAATTACACATACATGAATATATGAAGTTAGCAGTGGAATTTCATCTTGTACCAAAGTCACATGCACAATTTGTCATTGCATTTAAGAAAACAAAAACTGCAAATCACTTTTTATTTGTTTCCAATTTATACATGTATTTTTATGCAATAATGTGGGACCTTATGCATGTGAAAATCTCATTATTGCTAAAGTTAGTTTTATTGAAGATTACACACAACAATGAAAATTTGAGAAAATTATTTCTTTCTTATAAATACCAATAAACTATCTTGCATAAATAAGGTGTCATGAAAATTTTATAAACTACCAGTATTTTTAAAATACAGTCAGAGCCAGCCTTCCTCTCCCTCAAATATGTACAGCCTTATAGAAGTTAATCAATGTCAAGAGATACAGGTACATGTATTTAATCATGCATTACCAAAGACGGCTAGTGTACAGCCATGTTTAAGTTGGTATATGTAACTTACCTCACGTTCAGAAGTTTATAATTTCCTACAAAATTAAACTGACCCTGGACTTCTTCATGAAAGTTCCATGCAACATACCTGTGTTAAAATACATTAAGAAGTTAGAAAAATTATTATAAAAATTAAAAACAAAAACCAAAAAAACAAAACAAAACAGAATAATTAATGCTACACCTCATGATTTCAACAATTCTTCCATTTTAGAGAACTTTAGACTTATCATGCTATTATGTTTCTACATTAAAGAACTATAAATGTATTTTGTTTCTACCATACAGAACTATAGAGACGTATAATTATGTTTCTAAAGTATAGAACTATAGAGATGTATAATTATGTTTCTAAAGTATAGAACTATAGAGACGTATAATTATGTTTCTACAGTACAGAACTATAGAGATGTATAATTATGTTTCTACAGTATACAGAACTATAGGGATGTATAATTATGTTTGTACAGTACAGAACTATAGAGACATATAATTATGTTTCTACAGTACAGAACTATAGAGACGTATAATTATGTTTCTACAGTACAGAACTACAGGGACGTATACTGGTAATTATGTTTTTACAGTATAGAACTACAGAGATGTATAAATATGTTTCTAAAGTACAGAACTATAGAAGTATTACGTTTCTACAGTATTCAGTCCACAAGCTTTCATCTTCATGAATGTCTCATTCCAGTACTGGGGAAGAACCCTGAAGTAATGAAATGCTCCGCTGAAAATCCTGAAGGGCTTTCCATCCAGGTAAAATTTCCTTTTCTTGAATTTCAGACTCCCCTCACTGCGGTACATCTTCCCCTCTTCATCCTTCACCTTTTTGTATATAGATTCTGTAGGTAAAAGTACAGTAATAAAAATGAATTATATTTAATGTTTAATGTAAAATCTTTAAATAAAACAAATTTAATTTTCAGAATTCAATATTCAACTATAATTTAATTCTTGTTGTAATGCAGTATTTGATTTGATAAAAAATTTACTTTATATCATATAAATTGCATTGCCTAAGTCACAATGACTTGCATCAAAAAGGTATTGATCCGCCTGGTGATATATTTAATTTGTACAATTTGGAGTCACTTTTTAAGGGCAATAATATTTTTTTCTCACACTAAATGAATGAAAATTAAATCATAAGGAATGAATTTAATAGCTACCCAATTTATATGGTATAAACTAGGTTGGAACAGTTTATGCTTTTTGATAAACCGCTTTGCGGTTTATAAAGTATACACTGCCACAACCCAGTTTATACCGTATAAATTGGGTTGCTGTTAAATTCATTCCTTAAATAAATATGGGATTAAAATAATAATAATGATAATAAATAAAGTTGAAAACATTTGTTTTCTTCAGTTTATGTCACATTTGAAATTCACATACAGTACAATTTTTTATCAAAATAGGCTTGCAAGAAACATAAAATTCTTTAATACAATCAGCACTATAGACATTCCTTACCTATTTCATGTTGAGGCATTTGTCTGTATTTTGGACGATGAAATAATGGTATACCATACAAGATAATGATGAGAGCAAAGACCAGTATAATGACTACTCGTATGACATGTTTTACTTTAATCTGTACGGGTTTCATTTCTTCACTCATCAACATTTACTCTCTACATTTCATTCCTCTGTAAAACATGACTAAAGGTAGTACTATCTAACAACACTAAGTCACATCTCTTCAAATACAAATTTTAATGAAATATTTTAATATCTAAAAATGACATCTGTCATTCTGTGATACATGGTTTTTATTCTGACGTCAGTGAATTTGTCTAAAGTTTATTTTATTATTTCAGACAGCTAAATTAAGTCCGATCTCCAACACCTTATTTCTAGCTGCACGTGGTTAACTTTTCTGCTACATGATAGTTTGATTATAATTTTTAGTGGAGTTCAATATATTTTTCTGCATGTGATGTCGTCATTTGAAACAATTGATGATTGAATTTGATGATGTTTCAAAGATAGATGCACCCCACTGTGTGTAAAAGGAACGTTTTTTTCTTTTTTGATGAAAACTATAGAACATTTTTTCAACATGATATACAGTCTGCTCATTGGCGTTATCAACAATGCAATGACGAGTATCATAGCCATGAACTTACAAACGATTTAGAATCTATCAGAAAAAAAAAAACTATTTAGCATAATCCTACAAAATACTGCATAATACTCTTTGGCTCTTTTGACTACCTTTTCTTAATTTCACAGTTGTAAGAGAGGCAAAACTTCGGATTTCCTAAATTAATTAAGGTTTAGTTAGTTTAATCCGAATACTTGTGTGTGCTATATCACAGGAAAAGCTTGACGCGTGCTAAATTCAAACCCAGAAAGGAAAAAAAAAATCCGGTTTTAATTTCTTCAACGATTAAACAAACAAAAAATATATTAAAAAAAATAATAATAATAATTAAGAAAGTTGTCGTTATAAGAGCCTTGCCATGAGCATAATTAAGGAGAATGTTTGTTTTTTCCATGCAGTAGAGGATAATCAAAATTGCATCTGACAAATCTCTCAGAGAAATGATGCGGGTTTCAGTCAGTTTCCAACATATAAGAATCATAAATTTTCATACATTTATACAATATTCTAGAATGTGGGGATATGCATAAATCATACAATCATTTGTGCAATAATTATTTAATACAATCATTTCTAGATATATGACATTTTTAATAAATGAGTGTGTTATTTTCTGTATTAATTTCTCGACATTGGCTATTAAAGCAAAGCTCAACTATTTTTAGTATAAGACATATTTGATATTTTTCCTTGAAAAAAAATTCATCAAGTTCCTTTCAAAAGTTAACCTATGATTATTGTATTTTTGGCAGCTGAATAGAAAATGAAATTCATCTCCAATCTCTCCTGTGTTGCAAATATTACAAAATCTTTCATCTGTGGGCAAGATAATGTGCACTAAGTCTCAACCTGCTAATAATTGATCTCTCGGTTCTCTTTTTTAATATATCAGTGTATCCACAGCGTTTAAAGTTATCAAAAACAATTTGGTAAAATTTTAGTTTGGTGAATTTTATATATATATATATATATATATATATATATATATATATATATATATATATATATATATATATATATATATATATATATATATGCACACACACGCACACACTTTGATATTTTTTCCTCAATCAGAATTTGGGTATTCAGAATATTTTGAAGTATATAATGTTGTTCCCGAAACTAAAATATCCTTCAGCAGACGAGGAAATATAAAACAATGTTAAAAGAAGATATTCGAGAACATAATTTATCAAATTACAAACAAGGTTTACACTTTAAGGAATTAACATCAAGTAAAATGTACTTCTTGTAGTTTAATAAGAAACAGTCGAAAACACGGATCATTAAGAAAACACATGTGTATTTGGTCTTATCTTCAGAGCCTGGCTTCCATTTACACAAAAAGATAATAGATGATAACCCACAGAAACTTAAAATCAACCATGTCATACAATTTGTTGATAAACAATTTATTATTCTCGCTCATGATTCATTATGCTGATTCTTTGCATTTGTAAGTATCATTGTTTTCTTACATTCTCTCTCTCTCCTTCTCTCTTTAACGATATATAGAATTATTTTACAGGAATATTGGTAGTTCCTCCGTCAAATGTTCTGCGCCACATGGATGTGAACACGGTTGTCTCGTAATAAACAACAAACCTCGATGTTTCTGCTATACAGGGTACTCATTACAAACAGACGGACGGTCCTGTAAATCTATCAGCAATATCCTGGCTGGTAACTTAGATTTTGTTTTCTTATAGTATACCATAATGGAAATAATTCACTGTAGAGAATAATTCAGCTATAAAACATTTATTTAGACCCCCCATCTTTTTTCGACGATCCAATATGAGACTAAAGCTAAGTAGACTAGAAATTTTAAATAATTATTATTCTGTGCAACAGGTATAAGCATTTACTAAGAAGTGTTCGACAATTAAAAATTATATATCGTAGAAAGAATGTACTAATTGTTAAAGTTTGTAACCTTTAAAAGTAAAATCAACGTGCATGCATAATTTATTTAATTTTCAAACATTTCTTATGCATTTGTTCGTGTACAGGTATACGATTTACTTTTACTAATTTCCAATCTGAAGTTGTACATAAATGATTACATAACAATTTAATGTAGCAGCACACTATAATTTATTTTACAGATTCTGGTTTAACGCACACATCTAAACCGCCGGTACAAAAAACCCCTGTGAAATTATCAGACAATTTGCCTTTAGAAACAGAAAGATGTCGAGGGGGTATGTGTCGAAAATTTAGATCTGGTCCAGTAGAGAGTCGGACACCAGATTCTGATGGTTCGTGCCCACCTAGCTTTCATTCAGTTGTCACAGATGGCGTGTCATTGTGTGTTCACTCATCAAAAATGCTGAAGGTAAATAAGAGACCAAATAAGCTGCTAAACAAAAATTTTCATCAAGAACTGAAAATATCTAACAGACGTCTCAAGACTGGGAAACAAAAAGTAAAGAAAGGAAAAATGAAGAAACCAATCAACATCCCAATTCAAACTAACCAGCATTCAGTTATCTTTCAAAAATATACCGAAAAGAAAGAAGAGCAAAGATGTGAAGATGGTGAGGTTTTAATTCAAACACTAGAGGGCGCAGTTTGTCGTAGAGAATGTGAGTCTGGTCAAACTTTAATCGAACAGAGGGGCATAAGAAAATGCGTCGACTCACCGTTCAAAATCACGGTTGCCGTTTGTCCAGAAGGTGAAACCCCAACGCAGACAACAATCGGCATTGTTTGCGAAAAAAGTTCTAATGGAAACAGACAACCAGGCGTTCCTCTGTGTGAACCTGGCGAACGTCTGGTCCATTTACAAACTGGCCCGGCATGCATTCGGGCAAAATCAAGAAGGCCAAATTGCAGTGACGGACAGAAGCTTGTACAGTTAGGGAAAGAATTTTATTGCATTTCGCCAAAAGCTCCAGCAAAACCGAAGTGTTCTGTTCAGGAAAAGGAGGTACATACAATTCATGGAATAGAATGTCGTCCAAAACCTTGTCCCGATAGTTTTATTCCAATAAAGACTGCAACGGGTACAATTTGCCAGTCTGAAGTAAAGAGTGTTCCAGCATCTCAGCAGGAAACAAAAAGAAAGTGTGCACCTGGTCAGACCTTGGTTACTACAGAGGAAGGAGATGAATGTTGGTTCGTGTCAAATTCACATACATCCGACATAACATGTCCTCCTGGCCAAGTTCTGGTAAGAGGGACCACATGTAAAGATCCTGTACTGATATCTCCCGACGAAGTACCATGTCCTCCCGGTCAGAGTTTGGTTATGACAACAAATGGCGTCCAGTGTCAGTACCGACGCAAACAGAACAAGAAAGAGTATGTCCACAGAACACGATGTCCAGAGGGGGAAATCCTTACATTGGATGTGGACAAATTCATTTGCCGTTCTTTGAGGCATGACATTGAAAGCATCGTCTGTGATCCTGAACAAGTGGTGGTCCAGGGTCAAACAGGTATTATCGAATGTGTTTCGGAAGAACAAACTAATCTGATTTGTGACTTTGGTTTGGTTCTGACTCGGGGTGTGCTTGGCTACGCGTGCAACCACGGTGGTCATGCATCAATACCAAATCAAGAGAATGAATGTGGACCAGGGGAGGTTATAAGGGTGGATGGAGGTAGCAGCAGGTGCGTAAATGTGGAGGATAATGTACAGCTCTGTGGTCCTGGTCACGAAGTAGTGATAGGTTTGTCTGGGGAGGTCGTGTGTAAAAACTTGGCAACAGGCAAGCATACATATTTTTTTTCGCAATATTTTCAATGCAATATGAGCGCTTTTTGCAAAATTGAACATACGGGAAACTTTATTTGATTTTTTACAATGTTTTAGAATCCGATGATAGTGTTCGACCCTGTTCTGGTAAGTCGCTGATTAATGACAGCATACCCCTGCTTGGGTAAAGGCTTAGCCTCTGCATGTGAACTTCAGTTATCATGTGCTCAAATTTTTTGAATACAAATGTTTAAAATATTAACATCATATATGACATTAATGTTTCATGAATACAGGTGACTGTACAAATTTGAATTGTGACGAGGGTCTGGTTCCTGGGCCAGGTCAAGGATGTTTGGACTTAAAAACTGTCCGTGAAATGGAATGTGTGCCAGAATGTGCTAACGGTGGCTCCTGTGAAGATGGCCGATGTGTTTGCCCTCCGGGACTTTCTGGTCCAGTTTGTCATAATGGTCAGTAAGACATGATATATATATATATATATATATATATTTTTTTTTTTTACAAACGTTCAAGTTAATAAACAATTGTAACGTTAGCTTTGATGTTCAATGTCACCTTCATTGTCGACAATATAAAACTGTCAAACTTGGTCAACTGAGTGAGCCATGCTCGTTCCAGATGTAGATGAATGTGCCACATCATCCAATACTTGTCAGTTTTCCTGTCGGAACACCTTTGGAAGCTTCCACTGTGTCTGTCCAAGTGGATTCACCACAAGTTCGGACAGAACAACATGTATTGGTCTGTCGTCTTATATGTACTGATATTTATCTTGGCAGTAGTAAACCACATAATGATGTATTATAAATTATATACCAAAAGCTTGACGAAACTAGAAAATGTAGAGAAAATGGAAGTCAAATGATAACGCTCGGGAAATAAATTTTCGCTGTTTATCTACAGAGGAGCATTGCATTCCTGGTTGTCTCAATGGTGGTGTATGCAAAAATGGTAAATGTCAGTGTCCAGATGGATTCTCGGGAACCCTCTGTCAAGAAGGTAAGCTAGGATGAATGGGCGCAGTGGAACCATGCAATAAACTTAATACACCTAATATTCCTTTAGAGTAGAAAATAAACGTTCTGCATTAATTTGAATATTATTTAAATCTTTAAAATTATTGGCAGATATCAATGAATGTACCAGGTATGTAAATCCCTGTGAAGACAGATGTCGTAATACATACGGGTCTTACTTCTGCAGCTGTCCTCCAGGAAGTCAACTAAGGGAGGATAAAAGAACTTGCCAAAGTAAAAATTCAAAACATTACACTCTTATATATTCAGGACCTAAAATTAACTTTTTGCCATTGATCAGAAATGCAATTTACAATATCCTATAGGTACCACCTGTAATCCTACCTGTATCAATGGTGGTCGTTGTCATAACAACCGCTGCAGGTGCCCTCCTGGGTTTTACGGAATTATTTGTCAACTAGGTACGAAAATTACTGATTTTATATAAAACAGCAACAAATCATAAATGTATCAATACACATACTTTTGGCAAATATTCTATTGGTACTTTAAAAAGAGTAAATCACCTTTTTTTTCTTCTGCAGATCTGGACGAATGTTTATCGAAACCATGTAAACATTGTGTGAACACAATTGGGAGTTACCACTGTATTCAATAATTCACCAAAATCCAGAATAAAAAAATATTTTTAATTCCTATCTATTCAGTCGTGATTATTTGATGTAATTGGTAGTAGTATAGTGGCTAACATGACAGCTCTTGCTAAACATTACCATGTGTATTGTGTCACTAGCACACGGGTACATGTCATTTAATCAACATTTCATATTCTATAAATCCAAATAGCCCCTATTATCATAGTTTATGCTGGTGCATATCCAGAGAAGAGGTTGTAAGTCCTTGAACCCCCTTCATTTTCAACATATCAGTTTGGTAACTGATGGTAATTATGCGAAATAGGGCTTTAAATGGTGATCACCATTCGTCTGTTTATTAAGTTCACTAAAGTCTAATTTGTCTTCCTTCTCTTGTTGGCGTATAGTTCTCCTCTTATCCAGAAAAAATCTAGAATAACGGTAGTCAAAAATCCCAAACTCGTTTTGGAATGCCTCCTTATCTGAGACGCATCCCAAGGGGATCATGCTTGATGACGCCCGCATGACGCACACGCCTAAAAATCCTACAACATGGGAGATCCAAAGGTATAACTTGTAATACTCAGGCGTCAGAAAGCTTAAATGAATTAAATACACAGCACGCCAAAACAACATAGGTAGAATACCGAGAATGGCAATGAAAAGTTCCTCCAATGTGGCAACCAAACACGGATACTTTTCCTCAACTCTTTTGTTTAGCTTCATTAGTTCGTACTGGCCAATGATAGGAATGGACACTAATCCGTAGAATATCAATAACGAAATAAAACCTGTGTCCAACAATTCGATTGGATCGTTTTCATTTACTGGCATTGCCATCTCCAGGAGTACCCAATATCCTTTGAGGGCAAATCCAGCAAAAGTTGTGATCACAAAAACGGTGAAAAGTGCGTCCAAGACGAACTTCCAATTCAGTCCAGGCTGAAAATAGAAACAATGGAAGGCTAGTCATATTGATCCAAATTAAACTGGAAAATATTACAGCAAAACCCGAAGAACTTCTATAAGGCAAAAAGGGAAAAAAACTATTTTTACAAGGCGCCGATTATTCACATTTCTGGCTTCAAGCGTGGACTGGGTTAAATGTTTAACGTGACAGCTTCAATGACCTTGGCCTCCAAGACTTAGATAACACCCTTAATCAAGGTCATAACAGACTGCCTACACAAGAATAATTAATGTACAGTCGAACCATGTTAATTTGGTATGTATTCGAACGTTACTGAATTACTGGATTACTGAACGTACCTTTTATAATTAGTATTTATATACATGTATATATATATAGTCTAAATATTAATTCCATTCCCCATGTGAAGTAGCCGGATGACTGAGGCTCGACTGAACATGTTTAGCGCATTGGTTTCGACTGGGGTTATTTTGGCATTTTCCCTATGTTTCTATATTGTTTGAGAAACTTTTATGTAAAGTATAAAAAAACATTCTTAGATTTGGTGATAAATATACAGGAGGGCCGTCAAAATAACCTACACTGATACATGTACAATGACATCAATCTTTTATATGCAACCTTGACACAGGTACATGTATTAATGTTTGAAACTTTATTATAATACCGAGTATTTTGGCACACGACAAAGATACCATGAATAATACGTCTACATGAAAAAGTAAAAGTTTCTAGATTTATATTCAGTGGCTTATAATTATCCAGGATTCTTTAAAACAAAAAGGGGCAGCAGGTCGGACGGGGTCTCCTGGAGCAGCATTAAGGACCAAAACTCCAAGGTTTAAAGTTTTTTAGAAAAGTTTTAAGAGTTGCTCTAGCTACATACTTTATGTATAATAAAAGCAATTTTCAACAACAATTGATTTATTCAATTTTACTAAATTTTGGGTCACATAAGGGGGCCTGCGTCCCTCTAAATCCGATACTGAATATTTTCTTCCGTAACTTTTCTTTCACTCAAACACAGTAACCTACCTCACAAGAAAACTTGGTCGGAATAATGAAGGAATCCTCAACACCTGGGTCTAAGGCCATGGTGAGGGGAGGGGTTAGGATGCCTAAGTGATTTCTGAGCAGGGCAAGAAGGATTGTGGCAACCACCAATCCTATAACAGTGCTAGTCAGTGACATCCCTGTATACAGAACGGTAACATAAGCTAGTCCGCGCCACTGCATGACACCGATTAGGGCCATAATATACTTGTACATATGCACTGATAGTACAAATTTCCACGTGCGTTTTCCATCTTCGGGAATCAGCCACGCCCTGAGAATCCCCTGAGAAAGGATAGAGCACAACACAAAGACGTTTCCGACACCATAACAAATCCAGGCAGACTTATGGATGTCCCGGGGAAAGAGGTAAAAGTCAAAGATCAGCCACGTGCCCATCCAGTAACTTGCCACAAAGTTGGGTAAAACGACCACCCCCACCAAAGTGTCCCCCACTGCAAGATAGGGCCACAAATGCCACCACTTGCGTTCATTGATTTCCTTCCACATAGCGCTTGCAGTCAAGTTTTAGCCGTCATTTTACTATACTAGTGGTCATTTACCCTCCCCACTCTCCTTTGTTGTCGTTTGGTCAGCTCAAAAGAAACTAGGTCATGTCAACATATTATATCACTGTAATCTGTAAGCGTGTTAGCCGATCGCTCCTTGAGCACTGTTGACCGCACGGGGGCAGACTTTATTTACAGCGCAGAGGTAATTTTTTTGATTAGCAGAATGTGTTTCAAAACATTTTATTTATTCTAATTGCAGTTGATTATTATTGGGAACAGACAATGGATTTTTCTTCAGCAACGACTTACCGAAAAGTGCAAAGCAATATGCCAACTTTTTCAAAGGGGCACAACTTTTTAAATTGTTTATTAACTTTTGTGGTCAATTGAAACTGGTAAAAATATCTAATCATAATATGTGTTCACGATTCTTTAATTAGTTAGGAATTTTAATTAATCTGCTTAGTCGTTCTTTAATTAGTTTGGGATATTTACTTAATTATACGTATACTCCGACCGGCCGATTCTGTACCTGTGAACAGACCCTCACTACAATTGAGTCTGTAGAACATTTTCTTGATTTTTTTCGGACTTTGTCACTCAATTGGAAAACTCAAATTACCTTAAACTTTTAGAGGTACTCACCTGAGAGTATTGTAAAGTCATTTTTTTTTCGTGGAGCATATTTTTAAAATGTACTATGTTAAAGAATAAAACTATTAAAGAGGACTGAGGGTTACACACACCTTGTTTTTTAGTAAGAACCAGTTAAACTTGACCTTTTGGCACAAGAAAAAAGCTTGAAATTTTGATTAAAACTACTGCTGTCTAAAAAATATTATGATCATGTCGGTATAGTTTATGTAAACAGATATTGAAGGAAAGTATTCATAGTTTTGGTCAGAAAAAAATCCATAAAGTCTAAAATATCAATCGTGACATTTTTGCACTTAAATTAAGATAAGAAAATATAAGATGAATCAAGTAATGTCTCTAAAATTTAGCGGCGGAGTAATGCTATTTTAATTTTTTAGGTTATCACTTTGCTGTGGGTTACATGTAAATGGATATTCTGCTGGAATAGGTCAACGTTTTCTCTTAAATGTGAAAAGCAAGAAAATTTAGTTAGGAAACATCAAAATTTACTGAGTATTCAATAAATAAAAATTAATACAAAAAGCAATCGAATGTAATCTGAATTTGTATGTGGTGTTAATGTCGGGCTTAAATGTAAGCTATATGTGTTTTAACGGCATATTCTCTTATACTGCCCCCCCCCCCCCCCATCCGATACAAACATACTGCCATTTTAGTTACGAAAATAGTTGAAGTGCAACAACATGAAGAATTTCTACTTTTTAAATAAAATGATATAGTGGTTGTATTAAATTAATTAGTTCTGGCATTCCAATAATTCAGCATGGGATAAAAAGAAGCAATATAATCATCAAATGGTTCAATCGTTAAGCCCTTATTTGGGTCAATTTACCCCAAAATGCACTTTAAAACACATAAAATATTTATGAATGACTTCATGAGAGGCGTCGCTTGTTAACTTATATATCCTTATTTGGAAACCAATTCGTAAAATTAAATTTTCAAAATATCACATGAGTAAACGTAGTACTAGATATTGACTTAAAACACATATTTATTAATAAGGAACTACGGAGCGTCAAAACTGCATTTTTAATTTAATCCTATCTCCAATCTGAAGTCGAGGAACATGAAAATACTAAATAGATGTATTAAGGGTTTAGGCATAGTTGAAGGTGTATACCCCCCCCCCCCTTACCACTCACGAGTCAAGATTTCAGTCAGTGTCCCTCCTCCCTAAAATAATCTTAAACGATTTAAGCATCTTTTTGTTGGCTTGTTAGATGGGACTCATATACATGTATATGTTTCTTAGGTATTTTACGATTTTTCTCTAATTCCTTTTTTTTTCCTTAATTGTCAATTATTTCAATAAAATATGCGCCCTTGCCTACACCGCTTTTCCCGGACAGCTAGCTTCGTCAGTGCATGCATGTAACGTCGTGGTAATAACAGATGTTCAAGTGGCACAAAAAATATATATTCCCCCCTCCCCCGACTCAATCCCGCTCGGACTTCACCCATTTGTGCCCCTTGATAAAGGGTCCTGCAGTGAACCACTATTCTAGATCAAAAGTCAAGGTAAAAAAATACCTCTGTGTAAAATCCTTGCCTGAAGCATATTTTTCTTTGAACAAAATTTCTAACTCAAAGGTCAAGGTCAAAGCTATCTATGCTTAAAAATGAATAAATTTTGCATATTCCGAAACGCCCGCACCAGAGTTCATGCTTACTTCTGGAAGAATACGCTAGGTATAAGGTGATGTCCATAAACTATATTCAGATTTCATTCGCATGATAATTAGGCCTATCGTAAGTTAAATTGAAATTCTACTTTTGTTTTGTTTCGTAAACAGTCGAAAAAAAGGGAGGTTCGGTGGTGGATACGGTTGGCGGATCCAAGTTGCTGGCAATTTTCCAAAAAAAAAAAAAAAAAAACTGATAACAAACAATTATTTAATATTTGATAAAACGTCACTAGTGAAATATTCAATCAAAACTTCATTTAAGTGATATAGAAGAAATAAAATGTGATCCATTTTGTCAGTCCCCGATCATAGTATTGATGGAATTTTCCAGAGTCATGGCATCGAACCCGATGTTAATAAAAAAAGAAAAATGACTCCACATGTAATAACTAACTACACATGTATATGAAGATAAAAATAGTTTTAATGTGAATAGGCATAAAAATAATTGTATAACATTTGAAACTAAAAATAGTAAATTATGTATAGAAAGCTATGAATGAGTTAGTATATCCGCCTCTTTTATTATTGATGGAAATGGAAACAGAGCATCATGGAAACAAACCCAAAGTACAATATGTACTTGATTACAACAGATATAAACAAAAAAAATAATAAAGTGGTTAAATGTAAAGAGAAATTATCAATTAATGTAAATGAATTTCTTAAAAATATACAATAAAAGTAGTGCATATTCCTCCATTCTAGCATTTCACATTTTTATTAGGAATTTTCCGAATACAACGCCTCAAAACAGCAATAATTTTATATTATGCACCTCCATTCATGGACCTGAAGATAAAAAACTAAGAAACAAATGACGAAAGGTGTTCCATAGAAACTATTTATAAATAGGGGAACACAGATCCAAACGGCTGAAAACTTAAAGATAAAAAGAAATGTCGTTCCTCGGTGAAGTGTTTACGTTCACCAACGTACTTCTACTGTTATTACTAGTTCTGTTGTTGATTTTATGGAAACGCAGTCAAATTCCCAAGGACTTGCCCCCAGGTCCTAAAGGAATACCTTTGCTAGGAGTTGTAAACATAAACCCGCAAAAAATGTTTGAACAATTCCGAGAGTTTCGGAAAGAGTATGGGGATGTCTTTGGGTTTTACATAGGCAGAAGTTACTCGGTTATAATAAATGGAGAGGAGACAATTAGAGACGTGTTTGTTAAGAAGGGAGATCTTTATTCTGATCGACCGGATTATATATTAACGACAGAATTTGGTGGTAATCAGGGTAAGACCAAGAATTTACTAATTTTGATTTATGCACTATATAAATGTTTAATTAATTAATAAATATAACTACAGCGTAAATCACATTTTTTTCTATACTTGATTCTTTCACATGTTAGAATAATTGACGAAGTAAATAAATATAAGATGATATATATGGATAAAATTGAATAAACTATGATACATGTATATAAATGAAAAAAAAAACCTTAATTCTATTAGAATGTGACCACAATGACTTAAGATCAGACGATACGTTCCTCAAATATCTGTTTTGTGTATCTTCATAATGTATGAAAAATATTCAAAATTTTAACTACCTTCTGATTTCTAAACCAGTTTTTAAACGTCTTTAAAAAGTCCAAACACTAAAAAAATTGATATTGGTAAATTATTTTTTTCCCCAAAAGGATTATATAAGAGGTTAAAATACTTAAGGAAAATGTGATTAGGACTTCCAACCACTGGCACTTGTTTCTGTAATTTTTTTTTAACCCATAGCATAATAATAGCACACGGTATCCAACTCCGAAATACATGGAGTGCCCCCCTCCCCAGAATCGCAGTCATTCACACTTTTAGAGAAAACGCACTAGCAATCTTTGTCTCCTACGATAATTTATATACACAACCATACATGGCATGCATGTCTTTATTTTCTTTTATCTCCGTAAATAGCTTCGAAACTCTGCTCGCCGACTGGAAGATTCGAATCAAACTGAAAAGGTATCTCCAGTGTAGAGAGCAAAAAGGAGTGGGTTTAAAATTAACTCCATCGAATAAATATTGCAGTGAATAAACAAAATTTGTGTAAGTTTTATTTTTCATAAAAATACTACGATATTTTTCCGATTTCATTTTCGAAACATATTTTTAGCCAATGAAAATCCAAGAACATATTCCTCCAGAGATTAGTACATACCACTTCATGTGTGAGACGAATTTCCCCGTCGGCAAGCAGTGTTTTGACGCTGTTTATGGAGATAAAAGAAAATAAAGACAAACATGCCATACATGTATATGGTTGTGTACATATTGATAAATTATCGTAGAAGACAATGGTAATAAACAGTTTGCCAGTGCATTTTCTATAAAAGTGTAAATGACTGCGATTCTGGGGAAGGGGGGGGGGGCACTCCATGTTTGTTTGTTTTGTTTGTTGTTTAACGTCCCTCTCGAGAATTTTTCACTCATATGGAGACGCCACCACTTGCCGGTGGAGAGCTGCAAATCTTGTCCTATGCTCGGCACTTACGGCCATTGAGCAGTGAGGGGTCTTTTTCGTGCCAACACCTACTGCAACACGGGACCTCGGTTTATACGGTCTCATCCGAAGGACCGGTCTCCACGTCCCACAGTGGGATTCGAACCCGCGACGTAAGGATCAACTCCTTACCTCGCGACTCTAGAGCAGACGCTCTAACCACTGCGCCACGCGGGCGACGGAGCACTCCATGTAATTCGGAGTTGGATACCTTGTGTTATTATTATTCTATGGGTTAAAAAAAAATTACTACAGAAACAAGTGTCTGTGCTTCCAACTCACTTTGATATATATCCATGGTATTCGAGATATCCAGGTTCGAGATACCGAAGTTCAACTGTACTTATACTGACAACTATATGCCCTGTGATTTATCTGACATTTTATACTTCTGATAAGGCTTTGCAGGCGCTATTTCAGAAACTGCAGGGGGTTTGCATCATTTAGACCTTAAACGTCAAGCAAGAAAACTTCCATTAGATCACTGGGGGTCAGACACAAAACAAAATCCAATCATTTATATTCTATTTCATGGAAGCTAAGACAAGAAGATCCTCTCTCTTTACCCCCGCCCACACGTCTGCCATAAACGGGGAGGAATATGCAATTACTCTGAATCAGCCATTGCTCAGAGACGCAAAACTAGTATTTATTATACACATTTTCTTTCAAACAAAGACTGAACTTGATGTTGCTAAATACTAGTAATTGAAATATCTTCAGTGCATTGTGACACTACATTCAACTTTTTCTTAAAGGAATTTTATCGAATTCTGGGAGATCATGGAAGGAACAGCGGACATTTGCTCTTGCAACACTCCGGGACTTTGGAGTTGGAAAACGAAGTCTAGAGGGGCGGATCCTTGAAGAGGTGGAAGTATTTTTAGACGCAGTCAAAGAGCAGGGCGGACAAGCATTTGATGTAAAGCCTTTTATTCACGTCAGCGTATCCAACGTATTGTGCTCCATTTTATTTGGAAAAAGATTTGGGCATGATGATGCCATGTTTTTGGAATTGGTCAAACTCCTAAATGACTGTTTAACAGGGGCGGCACTAATTTCGCTGATTGAGTATTTTCCATTTCTGAGGTACCTTCCAGGGGATCTCATGGGCCTGAAAATGTTGAAACGAAATACAGCGAAGTTGGAGGCCTTTTACGACAAGGTCATTGCAGAACATAAATCAAAATGGATGGAAGGGAAAAAGGACGACTTCATCGACTGTTACCTGACGGAAATACATCGTCGTAGAAACAACAGCGACAGTGTGTTCAACGGTAGATTTTTTACTTAAGTTTTTAGGTCAAAGGGTCACAGAAATCCAATATCTCAAAAAGGAGATCTGAGCAACATTGAACAAAAGATATTTATAATAATGTTTTCAACTATGAAACTTTTTAATTTTCGGAAAACGATCCATTAAGGACTTGAGAGGCTGGCCTCTAAATATTTCTTTTCTACATATTTTAAAAAGGAAAAAAAATTATTAGAGTTTTCATTTGATATCAAGAAAAAGTGACTGGCCCTTCAAATTAGGGACCCAACAGGACAAAAAGTCTTTAATCTATGGGTCTTTAACGATCAATGTTTTGTTAAACATTTCTAAAGCAAGACTAATCATATACACATTGTGCAATGAAAGGTTAAATTATGATTTGTAGAGGGTCTTCAGGGGCTAGAAAAACTAAGTCTCTTAGTTTATTTCTCAAAGCTGGAACTAGTTTAAGGTCACCTGTCACATAGGTGGCCTATTGATTGCTATCTGTTTTGGTCCTTCGTCTTGCTTTAACGTTTGAACAATTTCAGCTTCTACTATGGAGCCGCAGAACCATTTTCAACAAATTTGGGTATGTTGCTGGTGGAGAAAAAAATTGCAATTGTCATGGTCCCTGCCCGAGAGGTTGGCTAAAACCATCAAAATTAATACAATCTTTGAACATCTTTTTTACTCCTGGACATAAAGCAATTAAACTGTTGGTATGATTTCTACCAAAATTAGGGGGGGAGCTGAGGAAAAGGTTAGAAAAGCTCAAATTAAAGTTGGAAAAGCCATACTAGATTAAAGTTGGACCTACCAACGTTAAAGTTGAAAAAGCCAATATTTAAAGTTTGAAAAGGCAATATTAAAGTTGGAATTAGTTATTACCAACTAAAAATTGGAAATGCCAACTTTAAATTAGGAAATCACAAACTTTAAAAAAAAACTCACGTGGCACAAAGTTGCTTCCGTATAAAAATAGATGGCCAGTTAAATAGTATTTGGAATTCAATACCTGATGGAGAAAAAAATAAGATCCAAATTTAATAAGATCAAACCTTTTCGTCTTATGATTTGTGAGTCCTTGTTCACGATGACACATTCACAGGTTCTGGTATGTTGCAGTTCTGAGGACATGAACAAAACTGCATTAGGACCAAAAAAAGCAATATTAATACAGCGATTAAATTAATTCTTTTCATGTTGACAGAGAAGGAACTGAGTCGAGTCCTGTCCGATATGTTCAATGCCGGAACTGATACTACAGCCACGGTGATACGCTGGATCATAGCGTACCTCATCAACTACCCGGATGTCCAAACCAAACTCCGCAGAGAAATTTATGATAACCTCGGCAAGGATCGCTTGCCCTCCTTGGACGACCGCTCTAATCTTCCCTACACTCTAGCTGTCATCAACGAGGTACTCCGAATTGGTATTCCTTCTTTCGGAGTTCCTCACACAGCAGCTCAAGACACTTACATTAACGGGTACAGGATCCCCAAAGGATGTTCCATGCTTCTAAATATTGATTCAGTAAACTTTGACCCTAAAATGTTTCCAAATCCAGACGACTTCAATCCTGATAGATTTATCAAGGAAGATGGAAAGTTTAATGATAATTTGAAGATTCTGACATTTTCTGTAGGTGAGAGAATTTTTAATATTCAAAAAGGGTTTAGCCACCTCTGCTTATACTTAGATTTTAATATTTGTAAAGAAAACTATTGTATTTTTTTTAATTTGGTACATGTGTATATATTTCTGCATAAAACATTCTTATTTTGTCGCAGCTATTTGAATTAACTCATAAATTAACAACAGTCAACTGACTTGAATTAAAAAAAAATAAAATCAGTCTACAAATTAAACATGCATACATCATATTCATATTTCATATTTTAATGTAATTGAACACATTAATCTCTTGCAGGAAGAAGGGTTTGTCTTGGGGAATCTTTAGCCAGGTTTGAAATCTTTCTTTTTATTGCCTCCATTGTCCAAAAGTTTGAGCTTCTACAAGACGGGCCTTTACCCCCCTCCACAACCCCCGTACTGGGAATCACCTTCAGTCCTAAAGATTTCAAGTTCCACGCCAAGCTGATTGATTCGTAGTACAGTTAATTTAGAGGACAAAATACTTCACAGGTGTCATGTCTTTGATAAACAAAGACTTTTAACGTAATGTGAATATATGGCAGGTGATTTTAGCTAACCTGTGATAGATAAGTTATCATCTAGAGAGATGAGAGACTTGCATTGGTTGTGATTCCTACACTAGCTAGTCCGTCATTGTATCGCAATCCAATTCAAACAAAAGGGAAGCTCTAAACACTAATGAAAAATGCTTTTTGTACTTTGAGAAAAATATATCATATAAAGGTGCAAATATTCTGTGTAACTAGTTCATTCTCAACATAGGGTACCTGCCTTATTTCTGCAGAAAAAAATGTTCGAAGACAATGAACTATTTGTGAACAGAAATCACTGTTGTTTACTTGCATCGGGAAAATTAATGGAAATAATATATTCAATTACTTAATCTTGGTCTAACATAACATTAAGTATACTTTAATTCATAAGAAATTGTGTCATTAACTGTAGAATCCCATTTATTCTATTTTTCTTCGAAGGGCAGATCACTCTAACTCAATAAAAATACCCTACAAATAGAGCTCTTTAGTGTGCATTGTTTAGAGCTTCCTTACATATATAGCTGATTTTTATATCGATATTAAAGTATTATACTAATTTTTAGTTTTGTTTATTATATTATTTTTTTTTGGGGGGGGGGGGGGGGAGTAGGGATTAATCCTAATTTTATTACAATTATTTAGTCTCACGCTTCTCAACTCGGAAAAGTCACCAAAGATGAATGTGCACACGTACACTTTCATACACACAATAGTTAATACATACAACCAATTATAATTAAAGGCTTCTGGATCCGTTCCCAAAAAAAATCATGTATATTTCCCATCAATTAATTTCTACGCAGAGGTCTATCGGCATGTAAATTTCGTGCATAATTTCTAGAGTGTGTTAATTAAAGAGTATGTACATGGGAAAAAAACAAGCTTTTCACAAAAAATGAATAATAAGCATTGGCTTTAAAAAATTATTTTGTTCATCACTTTCACAAAGTATGCGATTCGTTTTTTAGATTCATTTCTGAATGAACAAAATAATTTTTAGAGTCAATCCTAAAATATGGTATTGTCTTTTATTAATATTATTTGAATTTCTAATGCTTCAATAATTAGTAAACGACAGTGAAGTTACCCCCCCCCCCAAAAAAAAAAAAAAAACAACAATAATGTAAAGAGCCCTTATGAATATGAATGTTAACTGCATATTTTTCCCCAATACATTAATGTTTGAATTTTACGTGATACGCCAAATATTATCCTGGCGTGTTACTTCATGTTTAGGTGATGCACCATGGTCTTTGTGATATATGAGTTATTAATTGGTCTATAAGTTACGTCAAATTATAGGATTAAAAAACAGTGATTAGATCTATTAACAGACTACGTATAGAAAAGCGCAAACATTTAAGAAAATATGCAGTCAAGAGAATCAGATCTTTTAATTCAGCAGAAGACAGCCAGAAAGGAAATAAAAAAGAACATTTATTTAATTAATTCTGAGTTTTCATTATAATCTTGGGAAAATAAGTGTAAATTCCCACCGGTAACCGTATATATTAAACTTTTTAAAGTAAAAATATATAATATGCAAAACAGCAGTTTTTAATAACAAATGATAAGAAATAACAACTGACATCAAGTCTGGAACAGGACATGCATCAAAATGATATTTGATTTGAAAACGTTAATTAGAAAGCAAGGCATCAAAATGATATTTGATTTGAAAACGTTAATTAGAAAGCAAGAACTAACCCCCTCCCCCCCCCCCCCCCCCCCAAAAAAAAAAAAAAACTACATTATGGCAACGTCAGCTGTGTTGGTATTTTCTGTGTTTTGCTGGTTTGGCAGTTCACTTTCTGTTTGATTTTGATTCTGAACACGTGGTACAATTGATTCACTATTTGCGTCACTTTGTTCATTACATATATCACTATGAACTGGATCTCTTTGCAGCTGGTTTCCTTCTCGTTCTTGTTCTTTAATAATGGACTCATATGACGGGGGAGGCGGTTCATTTGAGTTTTCTCCGTTGCTTGAAGACGATTCATTTTCAAGGGACAGAACGATAAAAACTGGTGAAGAATTACCTGCAATTTTTATAAACACATAATTATACATGTGTATGTACATATGTATTTATTTATAATTCGATTTGTTTTGCATTTTACAGTCTATGAATCACATGTTCTAAGATGGGAAGTCTTAGAGTTTTTTTTTTAAAGGAACTTAATTTTAATATTAATATTATGACATCACAAACGTTGAGCACCGTACACTTGTATGTAGCGTTCAAGGTTTGTATATATATATATATATATATATATATATATATATATATATATATATATATATATATATATATATATATATATATATATATATATATATGTTTATTTATATAGAATGCAAAGATGCAAAAATGTGATGCATATAGATCTCTATCACTCTCTTACGCTCTTGTCCCTGGTTGACTACGTCATCGTAAGAAGGTGGGGCTGAGGCCAATCTGTGTGACCTAGAGGACGGGGAGGATCCTGAGACACTTTCCTGTGAATTGGTCAATCCTCTGTAGGGCCAACCGTCACGTCGAATTCCTCGTCTTATTCGACTGCAAAATTACAATGTTACGTTTCGATTAAAATGACTTATTTTACAATTTGAAATTTAATAACTTTACTTAAAACACATTTCAAATTACTTTGGTTTACAGTTTAATGACAGATAATAAGGGGGTTTATAATGTGATATATTTTCCCGCAGAATAAGCTTAACATACTCGCGATTGTAACAGCCAGCTATGATCACGCATGCGCTAACGACAAAGAAAATCACAACAGCTCCACCAATCATTGGCAAGGAATCTTCGATTGCAGTCTTGATTTTCAGGCCTTAAAAATAAAATAATATGACGTATTAATTGTAAGTTCTTATAGCTACATATATATTTATCATAGGTTATGTTGCGCATGGTGTAATATAATATTTTATTAGAAAAAAGGCACATGTATAAATATTAATACATTAAAGCTGAGATTCAGTAAAAATCTTTGGCAGAGTTCACACTATATGATATTAAATAATTATTTTTGTCGAAACTCCAAATTGTAACTAGAATTGTATATATATATGTTCATACTTGAAATCTTTTAGAAGCACTGATGAAACAATGAATTTAACGGTTTAGTTTTTCAAACCATCAATTACATCAGAAGTTTTTGTTACATATTTAAAAAAGTTTTCCTCGATCATCTTATGTTAATGTTAATCTTGACTTACTGCAACGACTGCCTGTCCAACCTTCCTGGCAATAACACGACCTGCTTCGAGTATAATCATCACACATTGATTGGTCCTCACAATGACATGACGTGTCGTCCTTTGTTTGGCTTGTTGTAGTTTGGGCTGTATGAATTCGTGTGCTGGCTTTGTTTCTTTCTTTGAATGCTGTTTTATTTAAAAAAAAAAACCAATATCGGTCATTTCCTCATATAAGCTTGTTGAAAAGAGAAAATGAACTTACTTGTCTTTTAACTTTGAAGCAGTTCAGAATATGATACAGAAAATATCATCATACCACATTTGTATCCTTCCCAGCCGGTCTGACAACCATTTATACAATCGTCTAGACCACACTCCCATAGATATAGACAGTGACAATATCCTACAACAGAACAAAGGTATAGACAATAACAATATTCTTCCACAGAACAAAGGTCTAGACAATGACAGTGTCCTACAACACAACAAAGGTTTAGACAATTACAACATCCTACAACAGAACAAATGTCTAGACAATGACAATATCCTACAACAGAACAAATGTATAGACAATGGCAATATCCTACAACAGAACAATAATATAGACAATGACAGTATCCAACAACAGAACAAATGTCTAGGCAATGACAGTATCCTACAACAGAACAAATGTCTAGACAATGACAGTATCCTACAACAGAACAAAGGTCTAGACAATGACAATATCCTACAACAGAACAAATGTCTAGACAATGACAGTATCCTAAAACAGAACAAATGTCTAGACTATGACAATATCCTATAACAGAACAAATGTCTAGACAATGACAATATCCTACAATAGAACAATGGTATAGACAATGACAGTATCCTTCAACAGAACAGAGGTCTAGACAATGTCAATATCCTACAACAGAACAAATGTATAGACAATGACAATATCTTACAACAGAACAAAGGTACAGTGGCTGCAATGTTATTGTTGACAACTTACACGAACGATCACGTTACACGAACGATTCTGCACGATTAACGCTCGATAAAATCTGTTACACGAACGATCCTTCACACACACGATTCTACACGTTACACGATCTTACACGATTGCTAACGCAAACGCACAATTCTTCACGCAAAATAGTTAAAATTCTTAAGGAATGGATATTTTCAAAACGAAATAAGGCTTAATACTTATTTCAGATTTCAAATAATTATTGATATTATTTCATCGACTTTGAAAAATGAAAAAAAAAATAGAAATGGATATTTCTGGACATAAATACATGTAAGACTTATTAATTATTTTAGATTACAAATTATTATTTACGTAATTCTCCGACTTAAGAAAACTGATTTTTTTTTGTTCTATCAGAAGATGTACATGTAGATGTACCGTGAGTTTTGATTGAATTAGATTTCATGGTATGCAAAAAGGGATTGGTTTGGAAAAAAAAATGGCATGAAAATGAATTAAATTATAAGTTATATCCATGTTTCCATTTGTGAATCCCTAAAACCAACAATTATTTTACAAATCATTTATTTGCAGAAATTATAAAAATAATTAAAAGTAAACTTCATAGATAAACACTGATAAACGAAACCCCGACAATCATGTCGTGTACATGTACATTCGCCGACTAAATATTTATGTTAGCATTAATAATTATTTATTTATTTGTAAAAATATCTATTGATTTTAAAAAATATATTGACCATAATTAGCAGTAAACATAATTAACATCAGAGAAAACATCCTTAAACATCTATACGGTTTATCACAAAAAATCACGCTATTTGACGAGAACACAATATTGTACGACTTACTATATTGCTTATTTCCAAGCGATAATTAGTTCGCTCATGTAAATCGCGCTTCATTTATTTTATTTGGATTGAAAAAAAAACAAAACAAAACAGAAAGCGAAATGCTTGTATAACAAATAACATTCCGATAAAAACTTACAAAACGAAATTTACACGTTTCTTAATGCACGATCACGCACGATTAAAACCGCAAACGATTGAGTCTGATGCATGCACGATCTCGCACGTTACACGAACGATCACGCACGTTACACGAACGATTCTACACGATTGGTTTGTCAACAATAACGTTGCAGCCACTGTATAGACAATGACAATATCCTACAACAGATCAAAGGTATAGACAATGACAATATCCTACAACAGAACAAATGTCTAGACAATGACAATATCCTACAACAAAACAAATGTATAGACAATGACAATATCCTACAACAGAACAATGGTATAGACAATGACAATATCCTACAATGACAATATCCTACAACAGAACAATGGTATAGACAATGACAATATCCTACAGCAGAACAAAGGTATAGACAATGACAATATCCTACAACAGAACAAAGATATTTATAGACAATGACAGTATCCTACAACAGAACAAAGGTATAGACAATGACAATATCCTATAACACAACAAAGGTATAGACAATGACAATATCCTACAACAGAACAAATGTCTAGACAGTGACAGTATTCTACAACAGAACAAAGGTATATAGACAATGACATTATCCTACAACACAACAAAGGTATAGACAATGACAGTATCCTACAACAGAACAAATGTCTAGACAATGACAGTATCCTACAACAGAACAAATGTATAGACAATGACAGTATCCTACAACAGAACAAAGGCATATAGACAATGACAGTATACTTCAACACAACAAGGGTATAGACAATGACAATATCCTACAACAGAACAAAGGTATAGACAATGACAGAATCCTACAACAGAACAAATGGAGAGAGAGGGGGGGTGAGAGAGAGAGAGATATTCGCCCCAAACAGTATATCAAATTCCGATTTGCATAGGGGTGTAACGAAACGGCCGAAACGTATCGTATTATACCTTGACACTATATCATGATACATGTGCGTACCAAGATATGCCCGGTAATAGTAAATACATGTAGGTGCAGCATCAAAGATGTAAAGCAATAACTTTTATTTCATTAGAACTCTTCAGAAATGAATTTAAAATTTCTATCTGATATACAGGTATTTTTTTCGAATCATGATACGATGAATTTTTTTTGTATTGCGGTAAATCGACACACCCCTTAATAAGGATGTATTCACTATTACAAAAGAATTGACCTATAGGAGAGAACAATTTCCCGGAAAAAGTGACATTTAAAAATCAATCTTTATTTGTTGTTTTCTACCGTATATATGTCTAAATTTTTCAAATTTGAGTTTTACAACTAAAATTTATTATTTACAACTTCACAATAAACCTCCAAAGTTGGCCGAAACACCATTTTGTCCGTTAAAGCGTTGATTTTTGCATAAATTTTGGCCTAGAAGTCCTTCAGGGCAGGCCTACCCCTAAATAAAATTGTGATATTTTGATAGGTTGGGATGTAAGGAATAATTTAAGAAAGGATTTTTTTAGGGGCACCCCTGCCCTAGGGTCGAAATTCACAAAAAACCTACAAAAAAATAAGTAAACTTGATTTTTTCAATCTGCTTCAAATTTATACCATTCAATCTTGCAGTCAGAATAGCTCATTTGATATATGCGCTGCGCTGACTTTTATATCGTGGGTACTTTATTTTTAAAGTCGGGGGTTCGAATCCACCTGTTGCCACACTTTTATAGTTTTAAATTTTTGCCTTTTCAAAGACTATTTTAATTTTTTTATAGGCTTGTGTATCTATCCTTTATGCATTCCCATTTTTGATATAAGAAACACTAGAGAGAGATCAAATCGTAACAATCCAATGTACAGTTGTCAGTCAGGCGGAACAAGTCTCAGGATAGCACACTTTCCCCGAGGACAAGAATAACTCACTCTGTGTTACTCGATACAGGTATTCTCGGCAGCATTGAGCTGCGATGAATTTCAATTGTATATATTCCTTAGAATTTAATCACATTGCTTTTATTCTGTCTGTGCTACTAGTGCTTGTCTGGGTTACATGTAGTACATGAATGTTACGTATTGCTTGAATTATTTGAGCTTAATATATTTAGAATAACATACATGTACTTTTGTTTTCAGTCAATGTTTTAAGATCTTAAGTTTTGAAACAGTAGGGCTACATATATCAGTAACTGTACTCCCTTGGATTTCATTTAGGCCCATTTGCACACATTAATTGCATGTTTTTATTATATCCAACTGAAATGTGTTGTAAAATAATTAATAGCCTAGACATAAAAAGCAGAGTTCCAGAGACAGTAGACATTACCATTATGTACAATGAGAAGTAAAGAAAAATATCAATTATTACATTTGGAGATAACAAACTCAGGAATATCAATGAAAGTGTTCCTCCTACCTCTACAAAAACAAATTGTTACATGTATTCAGCCTAATGTCATTAATCGGATTGGAAATCGACAAGCTTTTTGTAGAGAAAAAAACCAAGCCCGGCCCTATAGGTCAGATCCCTATTTATATAGAAGTGATCCTTTGGATTAAATCAAATTATATCATATTGAAAACAAGCCAGACTCTTAGATTCTCTGAGATGGTTGCGTTTTATGTTGCAAGATTTGTACCTTTTTAAGCTGGGGGTCACAGTAAATTTCGTTAACAGTTATTACTTATCTTAAAGAAACGATTACCATATCCTCAAAGCACAAGGCTATTTATAATACTATTTTGATTTTTATACTTACGGACAGTATCACCACATCCTTCTTCGTCTGATCCGTCCGGGCAGTCTCGGTCACCGTCACATCTATGGGAGGACGGTATACAGAAATAAGTAATATCAGACATCCAGCACACGGTCTGATTTCTTGTACAAAGGTTTTGTCCTGTAAAGCAGATAGTAAGATTAAGACGATAGTAGCGTTGTCTGGTGTCCTTTTTGAATTTTGTTAATAAAAAAACTGATTTTTTGAAATACATGTACTAGGTAGATAAAATAATCAGTCAATAAATAAAACGATCGAAAAATAAATAAATGAATAAATAATATAAATATAAATAATAGAACTCTAAAAATATACTAAATGTACAAAAAAGAAAGTTGATGATTGTAATACAAAGGATTTATGTATATACATACTTTAAAGTGATAATGGGAAAATTCTATTCAGAAGTCTCTATAATTCACTATGAGTTAACTTTGTTTAGGTCTTTCATTTTTCTGCGCATCTTCTATACCCCCCTTTTTTTTAGCCCCCCCCCCCCCCTTTGTAAGACAGCGCACTTTTAAAAATTACGCACTTTGAAAAAAGAATTCAAAGTGCGTTAATTTTGGGACCACGTTAACGCACTTTGAAAAAAAAAATATTCCTTTTCAAAGTGCGTTAATATCGACCATATTAACGCACTTTGAAAAAAAAAATGTGCACGGCTTCGTCAATATTCTTGCAAATTTCAGATATGATAAATAATTATTTGAACCTGGTTGGATATCTTCTCGGTGATGACGTCAGGATCTGAGATTATCTTGTTTCCAAAGGTTCTGGTAACTGTTATAAAAGGGAAATGGGTCTTTTAGAAATAATGGAGGAATGATTCTTTAATGACACAGTGTCGTTTCTTTTCTTTTTTTTTTCTTTTCTTTTTTAAATTTTATCCAGTCTCTAATAAGTTCGGTAGATATAGGTGTCGATAAGTGACTTAAAGCATCGCATTTTTCTTAGGGAAAAGGATGCAATTACGATTTTTCCATACCATGAAAATTCTCTCTCTCTCTCTCTCTCTCTCTCTCATATTCATCTGTCTATCTATTGTGAACATATACGAAACAATGGTTGACTCATTTATTTGATCGTAAGAAAATAAACCTTAGCCACATTACTCACTCGACTGAATTTTTTTACCTCGTTCACTAATAACTTTTTCTCAAAAAAGTTATGCAGTCAGATTACTTCTAAATCTGTAATTTGATAACATAAAAACGCTACACATGTTTTAATAACCATGTAAATGCCCTTTTCTGAGGAATCATTGTATATATACATTTTGAATAAAGGTTATGCGGCTCTCTTCTTTAATAAAATAGGGTGCGTAATTTTTTCCCAGGAATGCTCATCTCAATTTTTTCATCTATTTTACGTAAACTCAAATTTATTGAGAGAAATAATATCAATGTCATACCAGTTATGTAAATGCATATATTTGTGTAGGAAAGATAGAGAGTTGGACTGGGGGACTTTCTACCTGTCTTCTCGTTCTCGATGAGGGTAGATCAATTCGTCAGTTTTACGGAAGAAATATAACAAATTATTGCTGTCTATTACTAAAATCTAAGTCCAGTTTTTTGTTTTATGCGTATTTTTTTTCAAAGTGCGTTAAGTGTCTTCATGGTAAAAAATGTTGGTGTACACTCTTAACCCACTTTGAAAAAAAAATTCAAAGTGCGTTGATTTTGTCCCAAATTTAACGCACTTTGAACATTTTTTTTCAAAGTGCGTTGATTTTGTCCCAATTTTAACGCACTTTGAAATTTTTTTTCGAAGTGCGTAATTTTTTCAAAGTGCGTTGCCACATCCCCTTTTTACTAGTATTCTACTTTCATTTTTGCTGCGCCTTTGCATGAGTCTATTTAAATTTTAACATGTTTAAGTCTATGTTAAAATACCTTTGTCTTGATAGATTTTATTTTATCATTTAATAAAAGAAACTACATTTACTAGATGTTAAACAAATAATTTTTAGGGTTCCACGTATTTTTTTAATGTTCAAAGAATATATAGATCTATACAACTAACATATGAATCATTCAGTGAAGTCAAAATTCAAAACGTGCAAAACCGTGGTTTGTTTTTCTATTTTTTCAGAGAATGAACTTATTTGTATAGGAAGAGTTACACTTAAACTACTCAAAACAATAAAACTATACTCAAAACAAATGACGTAATAAGAAGTCTTATACACCTCTGTTTATAATGTTATCCGACACGCCTAAAACACTGTTTACTTCGAATGCATTCAACCAGAACCTTAAAATTGCTTTATTATACTGTAACTTAAATTGAACTCAAGCTCATTGGTATATATAATTCTAAATATTTTAAACCATCTGTATATATAGCAAGAGTGAACTATTTAAAGAAAAAAATTCTTTAAAAAAATCAAATTTAGTAAGTTTATGAAATTACGATCATATCAGTTATAGTTCCGGGTCTCCACATAAAAATAGAGAGACAGTTCTGTTACTGCATTCAGTGCCTCCCTTTTCTGGCCTAGTTGAAGCTTAATCAGTTAATTATTAACCGTTAATATTGATTGGTAGTTTTGACTAAGTACAATAAACTCACCTTTGACAGTATTCAAGTAAAACAAAACCATAACGATTAACAGGTAAAGATACGTGGACGCCATATTTACTGTTTACGAAATACTTATCAAGTATATTCCTTTAATACGCGTGACTGAATCGAAAGTAGGAAGTAAAACATATTCTTAGTTGGGAATATACTTGGCGTACGTGATACCTCTTATGAATCATTTAGTTTATAAATAAATCAATTAAATTCACCTCAGAGATATCAACGCCGAACCTGTTACCACCAACATTATAATAAATGGTTCGACTATTTGTTATAGGTGCCAGCATGCAATTTTATTCCAAAGTAAATGAAAAATGCCTGATAAGAATTATTTTAAGTCACTTATACCTAGATCACGACAGCTTTATCTAACACTGTACCTGTGTACACTCCATCATATAAAATAAAATCGATTCCAGAGCAGATTTAGGATTTTTTTTTTTGGGGGGGGGTCATCTTTAAGATTTTTACACGCCTTAATAGGGTTCAACTCTTCAATAAAAGGGTGGATCGAGGTGGTGTCCATAGTCATTTTTATATACTGTGTCAATTAAATAACAAGAATAAGATTAAATAAAAATACCAGTGAAACATCCGTAAAACATTTAAAAAAAAAAGAACTGACTACATAAGAGTTTATAATGACTATGACTTAACCATTTCTTTTGAGTGAAGTATTATATTATGTCCATTCCTGTCTTTAAAAAAATAGACTAAATCTAAATAAATCTAACTGGTTGTGACTTAAAGTCATATATGGCGTATTTTTTTTTATATAAGTTTTGACTGACTAAAATTAAGAAGATCTCCCTATTTGTTTTATTTCTTTATATAAAGCATGGCCGTAGGAACCGGGGGGGGGGCACGGGGGGGGCGTGCCCCCCCCCACCCCCAATAATTTTGCCGATATATAGATTACTATAAAAAAAATAGCTACTATATGCCTGTGCCCCCTCAATAAATACGTCTGATGACTTTTTTTTTTTTTTTGCTTGTCAAGAAATTTTTGGTAGTTGATAGTGCCCCCTCAACTGAAAATATATGGCTGTGCCCCCTCAAACTGAAATTGCTTCCTACGGGCCTGTAAAGATAGGACTTTCCTGTAAATTACAATTACACAATTTAAATCAATTACCTTTCATAGATATTAGAAATTTAAAACAATAACCGATTTATTTACCGACTCCGCATTTCGATATCAGATACAGTTTTAAGTCAATTTAACTATAGAAACGTGGGGTTATTCAAGTTCAAAATCGGTGAAAATTTTAATTTGAACGTAAATAACAAATTTGTTTTATTTATATATTTATATCACGTTAATCTAAATTCAATCTCGTATTTTTATTTTTAGATCAGATACGCCGTATATAGCGTTTAATTAAACCTTTTACTAGTGTTGAGTTGTGAAATACTGCCTTCGCGAAAACACCATTATACGTTTGAAAAAAGGTCATGTAAAACTCGAAGACCTTGATCTTTTGGCTATGACGTATCTAGAATCATGCAGCTTTCGTGTAAGTCATCTCATCCAATGAAGAACAATTATTGTTTCATGTAATCCATCGTCTCGTTTATTATCACAAATTTTGTGTTTTTTAACATGTGAGCAGAGTGAGAAAGTGTTGTTTTGGAGCAGAATAGTGGATAAATCACGTACTGGATAGATCACGTACTGGATATATCACGTACTGGATAAATCACGTACTAGATAAATCACGTCACGTACTGGATAAATCACAGTACTGGATAAATCACGTACTGGATAAACCACGTACTGGATAAATCACATACTGGAAAAATCACGTATTGGATAAATCACAGTACTGGATAAATCACAGTACTGGATAAATCACGTAGTGAATAAATCACAGTACTGGATAAACCACGTACTGGATAAATCACATACTGGAAAATCACGCACTGGATAAATCACGTACTGGAAAAATCTGTGAGAACGCATGGACTGACCGACGAAATGGAAATTCAAAATAAAATTGAATGAGTGGTACATGTAATGATTTAAAAATACAATGCCATTCTGTATTATAGAACAGAACATTTTATTTCTAATTTAGAGCCCAGAACAGACAAGTATGAATTATTACAATAGTATTTAACGTCATTGTTTAAAATGTAGATGTATATATCTTCAGCAATAAATAACGGATCATTTACACTATAAATCAACAAGTGACTTTTAGAATGAGAATCTTATACTTTCTACTACTAACTTAATTTATCTTAGTAAGGATAAAAACTTCACTTCATTGTCGTAGTGGATGTGGGCAGTTCGGTTTACTAGCAAATATTATATATATATATATATATATATATATATATATATATATATATATATATATATATATATATATATATATATATATATATATATATATATATATATATATATATATATGATAAGATATTGTACGTTGTTTTTGTCTGTTTTGTCGTAATCGCAAATCTATATATCGTCCATGCTTTGTCACACTTACTGGTTTAAGAAGAATATGAGTAACAAGGAAGGATATTGAAGATAGTAAAATGTACTTAAAAGTTTATTTCTTATTCATTCAATGTTGTTTTTGATATCGCACCCATAAACATAAATGATACACCGAGTAAAAAATTAGAACTTAGCGTGACACGCAATTGCTAGACTGAGAACTAAAATATCTTTTAAATGGTCCCTACATGCATTTTAATTATTCATTATAAATGGCGGATGCAGGAATTTTTTTTAAGAAGAGGGGCCCACTTCAAAAAAATTAAAAAAAAAAAAAAGGAATCCTCGCAAATTAAAAAAAAAAGAGCCCAAACTCGAAAACTCTTTTTTTTTTGGGGTGGGGGGTGGGGGGTGGGGGATGGTGATTAGACACATAATTATATTTATCACACTTTCCTTCGATCAAATAACAGAGGAGGGGTCCGTGTTTTCGGGGTGGGGTGCGACTGTTAAAAGTCATTCTTAAGGTTCCTCTACTTTCTAAATCATTTATCATTTTTTCTTTACTATATAATTTTAAAAAAATTCCGGAGGAGGAGGGTGTGCCCCCCCCCCCCAACAGATAGATGATTTGTGAAAACTACACGTAAAATCTATACTCAGTGAACATAGTTACTAAGAAATGTAAACTGGTTTATTTGTTTTTTTTTCAGTCCAATAAAAATGTGCTTTTATGTTTAAATTGCAATTTGACTGAACGTGAAAGACGTAAAACATTTAAATTTTTAGCACGGTCTTGCATGCTTTCGTTGATCTACTCGAGTTACCGTTCTTGCCAAGGCGTCACGATCTGTTCAGACAACACCTCGTAGATCGTTATATCCTAATATCATCGAACACATAGATAGTGATACTCCAATTAACGTTTAAAAGATAGAAAACAAACAAACAGACAAAACTGATCTGAAAAAAAAAAAATTGTCCTGAAGTTGAGAAGAAAGGCAATGTGGGAATGACCTTTACATTGAGAACGAGGGTTTGCCAGATTCGCTGATTTTGCTGTTGTATGACAGTTGAACGAGAATTTTCGTGATCATTTGTAAGCAGAGGAAGCAAGAGAAGTATTCAGATAAATTTTTCATTTGTGATATAATGATTTAACTCTTTAAATTTATTTTTGTTTAATATCTTTCAGGTGTAGGTTGTGTACCCTTTCGTGAACCTCTTTGTACAGGTCCGCCCAAAAGAAAGGAAAATGGGAGAACAGTTCATCAACATAAAAGACTTAAAACCTGGACAAAAGAACATAAATATTATGTTTATTGTATTGGAGATTGGTATATTTATTTATTCTGTTTAAATATAATTTAGTACTCTTAATGGAACTATAGAAAAAGAATATTTAAACATTTAACTTTTAAATGATTTTATTTATTTTTTTTTTGTTTTTACAGAAAATCTGTTTAAGTTGTCAGCCCTCATTGGAAGGTTAGGTTGGCATATGAAATGATAAATTGAGTGGAACTCTCAATCATTTGATGTTTTTCGCTCAAAGACTGTCAGCTACATGTTTAACAGTTAATAATTATTTGATGAAAATTAATTAAATAAATTTTGACCCCTCTGAAAACAGCATAAAAAAGAAAGACTTTTGCACCTTTATTTTCGATCTTAAATCTTAATTCAAAAGGAGTGCTTTATGTTGCCCCCCCCCCCCCCCAAATCATTTTTTTGTAAGGTTAATTATGTAAAATAGCACAGAATTCATTAAAAATAGTGAATTATTTATGAAAAAATATATTGCTTACTTGAATAAATTTGAATGATAACTTTCTGAATATTATGGCAAGAAGTACAAGTTTTCAAATTTCTTCATTTTTCTATGAAATTTTGAAAATTTGTCTGCATGCCCTTCTTGAAATATTAAAAATGAATTTTAAATTGCAGAAAATTTTGAATGGTGATCAATAATTTTATAATTTATTTTAGAGAATTTACATCCCTTTTATCTATAGCTTAAAAAAAAAAATACCATGAAAAAATGAAGCAAAATTCATGATATTTAGTTAATTATTTCATAGTTCTTCAAACATGTCCAAATAATACCTTAGTTTCTGCCATGTTGCTCTTAATCTATCAAGTAAAATTCAGGGTCATTATACATGGGATGTTAAAAAATGTTTTATCATTTGTTTCATGATTTTTAGGTGCTCCAACAAGAACAAGAGATGGCCATGATGTGAGATCAGTTAAAGTTGCAGATAAAACTGGGAGTATAAATATCTCAATCTGGGATGAAACCGGTGACCTCATGCAGACGGGGGATATTTGTCGCCTTACTAAAGGGTAAAATCTCCGTTTATATTATAACTAAAGGGTAAAATCTCTGTTTAACTAAAGGGTAAAATCTCTGTTTAACTAAAGGGTAAAATCTCTGTTTTACTAAGGTATATTCTGTTTTACTAAGGTAAAATCTCTGTTTTACTAAGGTAAAATCTCTGTTTTACTAAGGTAAAATCTCTGTTTTACTAAGGTAAAATCTCTGTTTTACTAAGGTAAAATCTCTGTTTTACTAAGGTAAAATCTCTGTTTTACTAAGGGGTAAAATCTCTGTTTAATAAGTCATTTGAGTGGCCCATTAATAAGTTAATACAGAAATATACTGACAGTACAATAGAAAACCATTTATGTCTAGAGAAATACAAACTGCTGAAATTTATATTGATGATCTGGAATTCATTGGCATTCAGTTGGGAGGTATTCAATGCAAATAGATCATCTATAAATTATACTATATAGATTAATAAATGAATTTTATAAATGAACTCCTATACTTTGAAAAGCTGAAATACTTTATAATATATGTAACAAGAATACAACTGTTTTGGCAGGTACTCAAATGTTTGGAAGAGTTGTCTTACTTTGTACACTGGAAAATCTGGAGAAGTTGTCAAAGTTGGAGAGTAGGTTTTTTTTTATTCCTCTTTACCTCATATAATTGTAAAATATTTGGAGGTCATAATTTTGATTTGAAGAAAGGATCTGTGCAGATTTATTTCTATGAGAAAATATGGTTGTAAAATGTTAATTAAGCATTGAATTGTAAATTATGAAAGTTGGTTTCATAACTGACTTGGGTGGCTGCATGTGCTGAGCTGACAAATTCAGTAACATGTTAGAGCATAAAGAAAATTTGTCTGCACACAATATGACATATTGAACGTCTAAAATTTACAATATAATGCTTATATTTACATCAATATATTTCATGGTACATTGTAAATTGATAAAATATCACCTCTTTGAATACATTATACCTGTTTAAATGATACAAGTACATACCACACTTGTATTATAGCAGTTATTACTAATCAACTTGAGCGTGAATTTTGAATTCGTTTGTGATGGTGCACTTGTTTGGCATTCAACACTTGTGAAGTTACATTACTTTAACCTTTTGACCTCTCTGTCCATGTCATACTGTTTGAATGCTTTCAATTGAGAAGGAAAATACATATGGAATGTAAATATGTACATGTACATTGTTATGGAGAGCTAGCTGCTAATATACTAAAGACATATTCATAAGTTGTAAACTTTTTTAAATCTTCAAGGTTATATATTTTAATTTGTTTCAAAGTTTGATAATATTCCTAATATAAAATTTCCCCTGAATTGTGGCTTCTGTTCTCTCTCGTGAAGGTTTTGTATGCAGTTTTCAGAGACACCAAATATGAGTGAACCAAAGCCAGAATATTCCAACAACCCAAAGGTAAATTGCAGTGTGATACATCTAAAAAAAATATTGGAGAGAGAATGACACACTGTAGAACATTTTTGTTTTGGATACATTATGTCATATTTTCACTACTGGTCTACTGTGATTACTGAGTAAACAATATTTTTTTTAAGAAATGAAATCTGATTTCATATGAATCTGACATTATAGGCAGACCAAACTGGCCAAAGAAAATCCCCCACAGAATCAAATGATGGGAAACCCCCACCTGGAGCTCCACAAGGGACACCACCTGGAAGACCTCAGGGTGAAGGTACAGGTATGGAAAGGAAATTTAGGGTACATGTGTATTTAAATTTTAGATTTTAAGATTGGGCTTGAATTGTGCACTACAACATAAAATAAAATGATGTAGAAGAGAATTTATCTCACTGTACTCCACCACGAACACCATTTTTTACATTATAATCGTTTCTGAATTCATGGGAAAACTTTTTTGTCTCTTGAAAAATTGTCAAACAAGGGTAAAAGACTTATTCTTTGCTTCATGAATCCCTAAGCAGTCTAAGACTAGAAGGCTTTTACATGATCAGGAGTCAGTAAGAACTTTTTGGATTTGGGCATCAGCTATTTTTGGGTTGGCAATTTTACTTCAAAGTGTATGAACTTCAATATTGAACAGTTTATGGAAATATGTGAAAATAACATTGTGTCTTCAAAAGGACACAATGAAATAATATCACTGAAAGATGCATACTTTTTTCTTTATTTACCTCTATTTTTATCCATAACTTGTAAGATTTATATTGCAATTTTCAAAAAAAAAAAATACATATACATATATATATATATATATATATATATATATATATATATATATATATATATATATATATATATATATATCTACCTTTTTTTTTATTTGAGGTCACACAATTTATGCAATTATCAGTTATGTGCACTTGCTGGTGGTAAATAACTTTTCTTCTCTTTGGATTTTTTTCTAAAAATAACTACAGGTAATCCCGCAGGCTACCCTAACAGTCATCCGCCAAGGCCTGGCATGATGCAAAACCAGCAGATGCAGCCCCGCCCCCAAATGATGCCTGGAATCCGCCCTCCCCCACAGAACTACCACCCACAGGGACCTCAGAACATGAATGGACGTCCCCCACACAGAGGAATGAGAAGATGACATAGATTTCAGCCAGCTTTATTCTATTCTGTTTAAGTGATAGATCCTCTCCCCCTCCACACAGTCATATGGAAAAAAGCATAATAAGCCAATCAAATTGGTTCATACATTGGATCTAGGGTTATAATGCATATTAAGATGGTTTTTGCTAGAAGCATAGCTTCTGCACTCGGGAATTCTCCTTGTTTGCTTTAACGTTTTACAGAACAGTTACAAAGCTTTAAAATCTTTACAACACTACTTAAAGACAAGTCTAAGAAATTGATAACTTTTGTTCCCTGCAGTTTTCAGAGAAAGTGACCTTGTGCAAACATTATATGGACTGCAAAATTATGACACAATATTTAAATTGATTTAAAGCTTTATTTTTTTTTCTGTTACTTAAAATGCTCAAATTTTAAATTTTATATGAAAATGTTCACAGTGAAAAGTATATAAGTGACAAGTAAATGAACAAAAATCTCTCTCCTGCCTGAGGCTAAGTCTTATACCTATGATATTTCTACAGTAAAGTTTTAGTCAGGGAAAAAAACCAAGTGGTATAATATGGTTGTCAATACACATTACAGCATTTGCAGTAAAAAAAAATGTACTTTGTGTACAAACACTACAGACTAATAGCTGAACCAAGAGAGAAGAAAGATAAACTTCCATGAATTTTGACATGGAAACTTGAATTTGTTTACTCTATTGCAAAGTGTACTCTGTGGTTTCATATTAGCATCAGAGATAGGTCAAGTGTTGGATGGCAGTTTCTGAGGTTTGGTTTACTAGTAATCATCACGAAGCCCCATCCCAGATGGGGCAATCCAAAGTGTTTGACATAAAAATGTTGAGTTTATAAAATCAAAAAACTACATGCATAAACTGCACCGGAAAGTTAGTTTTATAATCATTGTTCAAAGAACAGCTTTAGTTATGTTTCAGATGAAAACAAAATTTAATTTCGGGAATACCCATGAAATAAATATTTGTGAACCCCATAACAGTATTTATTGCTAAGTCACATTAGTTTCTGTTATTCTTGTGTGGCTGCAGGGGCAGTAACTCCTTGTACCTGGAGTTAGAGCTTTTCATAGCCCCAGTGGAGAGATGTAGGAGACAGAAAAAAAAAACGCCATTAAGGTTCGTCAACCTCAGTTCTCATATAAAATTTTGTTTTAACACCAGTGATTTTGAAGTGTACATTGATGTCCATCCTCACAACGTCAGGGGTCACGAGTCAATATGTCGTTGTTGGACGAGTTGACTCAGGAGCCCTGACGTTGTGAGGATGATTGATGTCATGCATAAATTACATTACTTAATTTCCAAATTTAAAGATTTCTTAACTTCCCTGGTAAATAGGAAAAGTTATGAGAAGGTTAGACTGCCAGCTGACAAATTCAACTATTTTGGAAGGAATTAAAGATCCGGATTTTTTTTGTTCCCCCCCCCCCCCCTCAAAAAGAGAGAGAAATTAAAGATAAATTTTAAAACCTAATTGTAAAGATGTAAGTAGTTATTTTACATGTCTCTAATGCAAATATTGTGCAATTTACGGCGCAACAAATTCGCTTGTTGTCGGATGGCAGAAAATTCAAAACAAGCGAATTTACTGCCGATCAGTAGATATGCCTTTAACATGTTTAAAGGGTTAGGAGCTTATAAAATATACAGCTTGGCTAAAGAATGTCTAGAATTAGAGAGTGAAAGGTAGTTGATTAACCAATGCTGGAAAGTGAGAAATTCTCCCCAATCGTGCGCAGAAAATCTTGCGCCATAAATTGCACTGTATTACTTTGCATTACGGGATCTGTAGCGTTATGGTCAAAGACTAAATATATAAAATCATACGCTACAGTTCTGTCAAAGACTGATATGTAAAACCATAACGCTACAGTTCTGCAGCTAACTGTACATGTGAAGAATTTTCAATTTGCGCCTCAACCTGATCTAGACAGACAGAACCTATCGTACAGGAACAGCTAGCGTGCTAGCCTGCTCGACCAACTCGAGGCTAGTTATACAACATGCTTTTGATGGCGAGGGAATACGGCGCTGGTCATCGAGAATGGAAGTGAGATACGACTGTATTTGCAGGGACAAGGTTTTCATACTTAAATTGCGGAAATTCAAACACTGTCTATTGAATTGAATGCAATTTTTATGGACTTGACCAGGGGTTCACTCAACAAGAGAATGTCAGGACATAGGTTTGAAATACAGTTGGGAGGCATCAACATCTTTATATTTTAACATTTCAATTCCCCCAACCAGTATATTCTTTCTTTAGAAGTTTAGAATTTTGGAAAATATTAAGCACCCCACAAATATTGTATACAGGGTTATTTTCGGCCTTTCACACTTGCAAATAATTTTGCCCCGTTTTAAAATCGCCCAATCACAGCTAGTTCTGTAAGAAATTATACTGTGATTTTTTAATTCGCCCCCTTTTAAATTCGCCCACGATGGCGAAAATAGAACGGGGGCGAAAATTTTAATCTATACAGTAGCTATGAGGCGCTGTTTTGGTTTTTATTGCCATTTAGTGATATCATCTATTCATTTTGAATTGGTGATATCACCTGTTTGCATTTCTTACAACATTAAATAATGAATGTTCTCTTCCTTAAGACAATCTAGCTTCAATGCAAACTATGGGATGAAATTTTAAAAGATCTTGGTCCCTCATTCGACACTGGACAAGCCAAATTGGTATATTGATTGATTGATTGTATATTGTTTTACGTCCCATTCGAGAATTTTTCACTCATATAGAGACGTCACCATATACCGGTGAATGGCTTCAAATTTTGACCTTTACTCGGCACTCAGGGCCATTGAGCAGTGAGGGATCTTTATGTGCCAACGCCTGCCGTGACACGGGGCCTCGGTTTTTAAGGTCTCATCCGAAGGACCCGCAACTTTCACTTCAATGTGCCGAGCGCATGGCGAAGGAACAGTTGCTACCTATTTTTTATCGACTTAGGTCTGTCGCGGCCGAGATTCGAACTCACGACCTCCCGATCACGCCAAATTGGTATATGATTCGCTGTCAATATTTGAAGTAGCTAAAGTAAATCCATATACGAGTATTTGAATTCTTCGACATCAGAATACAGACTTAGTATTATATAAATACTGCATGTAGTTGAGGGTAAGATTGAAAATTTTCACCCCAAGAAAACCATAGTCAACCGAGGCGCAGCGGTGAAGGAGAAGGCTGATGCAGTCATATATGTATGTGCTACAACATATTTCAGGAAGTGATGTAAATCGAATGTGGATTCTCAAAAAGTGCGAAAAACTAGGAAAATCTAAAATCCAAAGTTTTATTTTCTTCAAAAATCAATAACATCAAAGCGTATGACTTTCAATGCTTTATACAACATTTCTCACGATAAATTGAATAGCAGGCTTTTTGACATAAACAACCTAGTACTATTAATCGCAACTGTAATTTTTAATTAAGTGGAACTCGTTCTTTAATATTTTGTGATTGGTCGCCGTCATCTACAATTTTTTTGTTGTTGAGAAATCATTCTGATTCTACACACAAATTCTCTGAAGCGACTGATATAAAAAGATGCCGGTGTTCATCATTAATAATATCTTTTTGTGGTCTTTGGAGATCAGATCTTCCAACAAATCAATCAAGAAAGAGTTTTGACAGGCACTATTTGTGTCCCTTTGTTAGCCGACCTGTTTTTATATTCTTATGATTGATTGATGTTTTACGTCCCATTCGAGAATCTTTCACTCATATAGAGACGCCACCATATACCGGTGAAGGGCTTCAAAATTTGACCTTTACTCGGCATTCAGGGCCATTGAGCAGTGAGGGATCTTTATCGTGCCAATGCCTGCCGTAACACGGGGCCTCGGTTTTTAAGGTCTCATCCGAAGGACCCGCAACTTTCACTTCAAAGTACCGAGCGCATGGCAAAGGAACAGTTGCTACCTATTTTTTTATCTACTTAGGTCAGTCGCGGCCGAGATTCTTCTTAATTGAAGGCTCATACCAGGACTTTGTTCCGGGCCCAAATTGTGTGGTCCCTAGAGCCTGTGCGTATATTCAATAGTTCTTCTTTTTTTCAGTTTTCTGTGGATTTGCCTGGCTCATTCTATCAACCATTCCTGCATTGTCGGAAACCCCATGGTTGATAACGCTTCGTTCCTCTATCCAACACATTTTTGCCAAGAAGGCGTAATTTTGCAATCATGGGTTTCCGACGTTCCTATGGGTGGATTTTGTATTCACACACAATTTAAAGATCGTGTAAATCTTCGTACGTCATTTGGTGAGATTTTGACATTTCCTTAAGCTGATCAATCTCGGCTTATTCCCGTTAATATGTGTGGGAAAGTGATTATTACATCTGAGGTTGGGCACTGGTTATCATTCAGACAGTATAGGTAGATGATTTTTATATAATGTCACCATCTTTGATGACGTCATAAATCGTGTACCCTATATGTGCACCAAACATCTCTAGTCTTTAGAGGGAGGGGGTCATCCATAAAGGAATTGACCATTTCTCCATGTTAAAATTTCGGAAACCGACTAAGCATTGGGTTAATTACAGAATGAACTAAATAAGTACATGTGTGTTATATAGTGACAAAACATCAGAATGACCAAACTGTACATTCAGTAGACGTCAATAAGAGCAGCCATACTTTTCAATATTGCTATGCTTAAGGTAGCAAATCTACAAAACGTATTCGTGTGCATCAAAGTGCATATCCAACTTTGTTTTCTTTAACCCTGCATCTAGCCTATATTTAATTGGCAAAATATAATGATTTTAAACATGATATGATCAATTATTCTTGTTTCACACAGAACCGTAGATGTGCTAGGAACGAAAGCTTTACAAACAAATAACTTCTATAATTAAAAGTTGAACAATATTGCAACGAGGTATAGAAGAGTAGAATGAGACAGGGTATATCCTACAAGAACAATCCAATTATCAACTTTTAAGTTGGTAACCTCATTTTAAAGAACTCTATGAAATTATTTTCTGATGAGAGTACAAACGGATATCATTGACACGATCGTTAAATTAGATCAGAGTCAAACTAGACAATTTCACTGACATTACCATTGCTTTTGCTTCTCCACTACAGTTCCAGTCTGACTTGTAACAGATCCTCTACACAATCACGTACGCAAAATATTGTTTCATATTGTTTAATACAGTATTTTTTTTTCAAGGTTTCCTGCAATAATTCTCAGACTGTCTCCATTTGCATTTTTAAAAGTTATTTGCAAACTTCACACAAAGTAGAAACAAGAGCACTACCCCTCTAATGATTGGGAAATTGTCATCTTTGTAAAACATAAAACCTTTTTTTCTGTACCGTCTGACATAACTAAAACATCAAATCATTAGCTATATAGACAATATCTATGAAACTTCTAAATTATTTATTAAGCTACAGTATTTTTAACATTAAAATAAAAAAAAGTATCAAGTAAAGAAATAGAAAAACATGGACAACAAAGGAAATAGAGCCCTCAAATAAATTAATGGCAGAGGAAAGTATAATATTCAAATAATCAGACAAACAATATTATGTACTTCATAGTTGGAAACAATATTATATATGGCACAATTTTATTATTTCTAAGATGACTACTGGTATTAATAAAAAGATGGGCAGAAAAATGTCTATGGTTGGAGAAAGACAGAAAGAGAAAAAATATCCAAGGCTGCAAGGCCCATGGAATGTTATAATAAATTGTATAATTTTTAGCTTGGTTGAAAAACATTTTCCAAGTTATTCTGGGAAAGAAGTAAATCTAACTACTACAATATAAAGCATGGGCAAACCAATAAAGAAATCTAACTTGAACCTTTGGTCCAGTTGACCTAAAGCTTACTACATATGTATTGCATTTAAGTGATAAAAGATTCTAATAGAAAGAAACCACTAGGTCATTGATGCTACTGAAGGTCATCT